TTAAGTTGTTCTTTCTTTGTCTCTTGCTGATTAAATGCTGAAGCAAATGCATTATCTCATTCCTGTTTCTTTCCTTCTTTTGTTAGGAACTTGGGAATTGTTTAATGAGCGTGACTCAATCACTATCCGAGTCTATGCTAAGGACTCTATATCCTGCAATTAAGGCACTGACAGCAAAAGGCCTTTTCAATCATGTGGATGTGGATGTCAAAGTTTCGGTTGCGTTTTGCATCAATGAGATTATGAGAATAACAGCACCAGATTTTCCTTTTTGTGAGGAACAGATGTTGAAGGTAACTAAAATAGCAGCATGCTTTTCAGTTTTGCTTAACAAACACTTTTGGAAGCTTCAGTTCATTGCTTCTGCTTGATCATGTGGGCCTTATTCAACCTTTGATTGTGTCACAGGAAGTTTTTCAGCTGATTGTAGCAGCATTTGAAAATCTATCCGATACCTCAAGCCGGTCATATGATAAAAGAGTTTTAATTCTTGAAGCCTTTGCAAAGATCAGAACATTTGTGCTGATGCTGGATCTTGATTGTGTTTCCTTAGTTTCACAGATGTTTAAGCATTTTCTGGGAAATTTACGGTAAGACATCGAGTTGGGCTTTTCTTTTGGTTAATTTACTTGTTTACTGTAGTTGAACTGAGAGTCTGTTCATTGTGATGAAATATTGCCGTTATATATATATAGTTTTTGGTGGCAGAAGTTTTCATGTGCCGAGGATCAATTTGCTGTGTTCTTTTGAGAAAGATTGGCACACTAGTTTCAACTTATTCCATGCTGGATGATAACCAATGGTCCATGATTTTTTAGTAATGCTGCGTCAAGTTAAATATGTGCTTCTACTAAAATTTTCTGAAGCGGATATTTTCATTTTGGTCTTCCCTTTGTAATCAGAAACTTTAGTCTGTACACCAATAAGTTCATAATGTTACTATGTCGATTAAAATTCTTGAAACTCATTTCTTCCTTATTGAAGCTTTAACCTCACTTTGTATAAGTTTTGGTAAATGTTTCTTGCAAGCCCTTAGCTGCTAGTAACAGTGCTCAGGTGATTCTTTGATGGATCATAGTTTTTGAACTTCTTTTGAGCTGTCTTTCTTCTCTTAACCCTCCTCGCAAATAGTGGTTTTACAAATAACGAGAAAATTTTTTTGCTTTCATATAGACCAAGTAATCTTGTTGCTATAGCATATAGTTTGTTGTCTGGTTATAGTTTGATGCTTGTTATCTTGCAGCGATATTAGGGAGATAAACGTTAGGGTGTATAGTTTGTTAACAAAAGCTTCTGACCAATTATTGCCAGCTAATTGTTGTATAATTGTATTCTAAATATTGACTACATATTTTCTTTCAACTGTGTGATATGTAATAAACTAATAGAAGACATAGATTTAGATTCCAATAAGGATGTACTGAAATTGTTCATGAATTTATTTTCACCATAGGCAATTTACATCTCCCTATGTAGGATTCTTACGTTTGGTGCCCATGCTATTTGACTTTGTGGATTTGTAATGATCTATCTTCTGATAATAAATATGAAAGGCAAGCCAATGATATGTCACCACTGTGGTGAAGGTTATGCCACAGAAGTACGAGGCACTACAACTTGTGTTAATGTTCCTTGAGTCATGGATTTTAGTTTTTTCTTTTGCTCTTTTTTTCCTTCTATATGGTGAAGTACTTTTTTAATGTTCTGTGTTTAATTAGATGGATGCTGATTTTTTGAATTTGATTCCTTCAATTGTTAGAGAAAACCATCCAGATGTCGTCTTTTCATCTATGGGGTCAATCATGATTCTGACCTTGGAGGAAATTGACGAGATTCCACCAGAACTTCTCTCCCCACTTTTGGATAGTGTAAGAATTGGAAACAAGGTGAAAGCTTGTTATGGTATCTTTTTAACATTCTTGTACCGACTAGTCTCCATGGGTGATGATTAAATGACTTTCTATTTTCCAAATCCTTTCTCCAGGATGTTTTACCTATCACAAGGAAGCTAGGAGAGAAAGTGATTGATTTTTGTTCATCCAAACTAGAATCCTATATGCATCAAGCAGTTAACTACAAGGGCTTTCCTTTAGAAAGTTATGGTAAAATTGTTGCTCGTATATATGAGAAAGAATCTGAGGCTTTGGAGCGCCATGTTCTTGTTTCTCAATACAACACTCCTGGGAAATGTCTGGTATGCATCTGTCCATTGTTGTGTGACTAAGCATTTACGGTTTGTATTTGTTATTTATTGTCACTGACATTTTCTTCTTGCTTCAACTTGAAAATTCGAACACTCTCTTCATTGTTGTGTAACATTCTCTTCATTTATGGTAGTTGTGCACTCAATCATGTTTTGACTAGGAAAGGCTAATTGCATGGGTGTAATGTAACCCTAACTTGAAATTTTACATGAACAAATTTTGGTTTTGAGATCAGTACCAAATGTCCCGCAGATATGATTGTATATGATAAATTGTCCGGCACATTAGCTATCTGAATAAACCATTGTAATATAGTCTTCTAGTTGGTTAACTTTTTTGAAATTTTGAACCAATATTTTAATTAAAATCCAATTTGAAACTTCGTTGGAGAGAAAATTTATTTTTACTATATACAAAATATTGAGCTAAGAGACAAATTTATAGGCAGAGAAAAGGATTCTTTTGCCCCACAAAGAAGGACACAATAAAATCCCTAAATTATAGAATAAGCTAACAATCAGGGAACTAACTTAAAATTTTTTATGAGATTAATTATCTATTTTTCAAATAGAATGATTCGACATATCATTCCCAAATCATTCTAATAAACCGAGATCTTTCTACACAATTATAAAAAGAATTGATTTTTATTATGGCCATGAACGTGGTGATATTGAACGACATGATTATGTTATACATCTTTTGTTATGCAACTTTTGAGTTAACAATTCTGTCAGCATGTTGCTTCAACATGATTCCCTTGTTAAGACATTCGGTTAATGGCCACGCACTAATTCATTTGTTTTTCTCCAATAAAAAAAGTTGAATTCTTTAAGTTCCTCCTTATGATGATAAATGTTGTAGCAGCTCATATATGGTTCACCAAATAGTTGTAGAACCTTTATCAATGAAAGTATTTGAGGATTTCCGAGCATATAGCCATGGAATAAAATGTTAAAGGCAAACTTTTACTGACTTTTGCGTTTTCTATCATTATTGTGTGAAGCTTTTTATTCTCAAGATGTAAACAATGAATTTCCAAGAACAGAAAGAGTTGCATTTTTTCGTCTCCTTCTATGTTTTTTATTTTATTTTATTTTAGGCAATATTGCACTTCTTGACACTCAGTTTTGGATTTTAAGTAAATTACACGTTTTGTGACGAGGTAGTTTATGCTGAACATGATGCACTCATGTACCATGTATATCTGTTGTTTAGCTGACTTCTGTTTTCTTTTTGATGAATGATTTCTGACAATCTTGATCGTGTCTCAGAAAAAGTCTGAAAAATGTGATCTCGCAAGGAGACGGGGGCGAAAAAGAAAAGGTGGCAAACTTAAACAAGGTTTGCAAAGTTCTCCTGTAGTCCCAACGGAGAGTTTGTCAAGTAAAGATAGAAAGAGTGGTGAAGACTCACAGCCTAAGAACGCTCGGTTGAAAAATCAATACAATGGAACAAATGTTCCAAGAGGCAAAAGATCAAGTAACAAGGTTGATTCTGAAAACAATGGTGATGAGAAGAACTCAGTCCTCAAACAACTTGAGGCAAACTGTATGGGAGTTGACATGGAGGATAACTTATTAGTAAAACAGTGGGTACGTAAAAAAAGACGAGGGTATAAGGATTACAAAGCATACTGAACTTAAGCCAATAGGAGAAACTATTCTCACTGTATAGTCTTGCAATCTAAAATGAAGAAATCCTAAGTTGCAAACACTGATATTAAATGTATCTTTCTTTTTGTTCTTGTATCCAGCTTAGCTATATGGTCATCTCGAAAGAGTCAACATACTAACTAGTTTTGAACTTCTAATTTTATCTTTCTTTCCCATATTGGAAGTGTAACGCAGATGATCAAACACTCAAATAACAAAATCATCCTTAATTTTACTTTTTATTTTCAACTAGATTTGTATTTCTACAGTTTATCAAACCACACCTAAATTCTATAACAAATCTCTAGATCGGAGGACAAGAACCTCTGGCTAGAGCCCAACGTCATCAATTCAAGTCAGCCCACTCCTCTGAAGCTCATCGTAATGGTTAATTTGTCTGTGCCCAAGCCCATTCCATTTGTCCTCCTCAAAAAGGTTGTTCAACCATACCATGTCATACAAGTATTATTACTGTCATTGACAGATAACTTGAAGAAATTGATTTGATGATTAAAAAAATGCCTTTTATTTATTGATGTTTTAGATTTAAATTAAATTACATGAAAGATGCGTCATAAATTAATATAAGCATATCCTTTCTCAGGCGCAAGTAGCGTCGGGAGTTGAGATCAGGATGCTCAGAATTATGGTTTGGTTTTAGTCAAACTGAGGTTGAGGTGCAGAACTTAAGTAGAATGGATGGCTGATAGGCAATGCAAAGATCTGTTACAACTTACAAACAAAGCGTGAAAATAAATAAATAAATAAATAAAACACACTACTCATTGGGTCTCGTTTTGGCAAACCACCCTAACAAATGCAAAATGGATCATAATCAGTTCAAAGCCAAGAAGAAAGTAATGAAACCACGCTTGTTCGAAACAAAAGCAGAACCCATGGAGTGCTAGTGCTACAGACAGAGACAGAAACATATCATGAAAAAAACAAGACGAGAAATGGCATTTAAGGTACAAAACCAATATCCTTGAAGTATTCATGCTCCAGAGCAGTCCTGGCAGTAATTCTTTTAGTAGGATCCAAGCAGAGCATTTTCTGATATGTTAAAAATAGGACAGATTAAGATTCTGTTGCATCATACACTTTATCGAATAGTGACAGCGTAACTATAAAATCCACTTACAGAAAGAAGATCCACACCAGCTTTTTCAAGAGTTGGAGCTACAGTTGCCAAATCCTGCAAATTAAAGCAGGCATATGAAACTTCAAAAGAATACAACTCTTATCTTAAATAAAATAAACAGCATGGCTTGAAAAAAAAAAAAAAAAAACAAAGAATGACACCTTAGAAGGCCACTTAGGGAATGCACTCTTGAAGTCCGGCAAAGAAGTCACTCCAGGCCATGTGTCCTCATTTGGAGTACCCAAGATTCTTCACATAAAACCAAAAGCGAGTGAATATGCATTAAAAAAATTAAATGCCTTCAGAATCAGAGTTTCTGTAACTTCTTCAACAACATATTTGTTTACAACAGTATGTATGAACATCCCCAGCAAATTGAACAGCTCTGCCACATTTACACTATTACATCAAACAAGATCAACTGCGCACGCACACACGAAAAAACATGATCTAACTCACCATCAATGGTCAGGCAATCCATTACATGTGAATCAACTTTAAGACAGAATAAATTCCAGAAGAGGAGCAGAGTGGGAGGTCATCTATGAGAAGATCATAACCCATATTGTCACAAAATGATGCAAAGTCTCACTATAAATATATAACAAATAGACTGGCCACTCATATTGAGATCAGAATCTCACATAAAAGGCGATTAACAAATTTATATTACACAACCTTCTCCTAATTTAACTAATCCGCTGTTTTGCATTTTTAACTATTTTGTGCAAGGCCAATAATTACATCTCAAAATGTATTTAAATAGAGTTGATGGCCACTCAGCCCACTCATTCAAACAAAGGAAATGTGACAACAGCTAAAGGTGCAGCAAAATATGGAAATTGTGATTCCAAACTAGCCATGTCAAAGACTTTCTTTGGCAGCTTGGTTCAGGTTGTCCTGGTTTGGCCTAAACCACAACCAACTTGAGGTCAGGTTGATTCCTAGAATTTCAAACCAAACCCAGCCATTAGAACCAATAGCCAATGCAACCCATGTAGGGCTTAGTCATTTGGATTTGACTGGCTCAAAGGATCTTTTCTATCAAAACAGCTCAATGTCGATTTGTGCATTAAAAAAAAAAAAAAAATCCACAGTAGAACCATCAAATATTGTATCTCATTAATAAACAACAAAACACAAACAAAAATGCACATATGTGTTTTATATCAACACATATCAGCTCTGAAGCAACACTTTAACCCCTAACGAGATTTTTCAAAGGCAATCCTCATCTTCTAAATCAACCCAAAACACTGTAAACAGCTATGATCAATTGCTTCACAGGTTGACCCAGACAACCTTATGTCACACTAAGAAAGACAAGGTTAGCCTCACTATTCCATCTTAATCTTAATGCCATCTTCACTTTCTTCTTGCATGCCACAAATGTTAGTTTTATAGACTTTACTAGATTAAAAGAACTCAAAAAAAGATGGAGAAAATAGCTGAGGCATGGCTAGCCAAACTCTAAATGCAATGTATCTAACAAACATTATAAGAAAGCCCAAAAGTGGTTGAGAAGCTATAACACCTGAAAATTTTGAATAATTCATCAATCTCGGAATCTCCAGGGAACAATGGCTTCTGGTTCACCATCTCAGCAAATATACATCCCACTGACCACACATCAACTGGAGTCGAGTAATGGCGAGATCCAAGCAGAATTTCAGGAGCTCTATACCACAGGGTAACGACCTGCAGAGAAGCACCCGATACATATGCCCAAATAAAACACTGATTATGATTGTCATATTATTTCCTAAAATTGCATTAAAAAAATCCAATGAAGCTGGATATTTAGTACTTCTATGCTTCTATTTTTTTGTTTATCAGAAAAAAAAATTGATATTTTATTTTCAGATATCATACCACTAAAGATTTTGCAAACGTAGAATTCTAAATTTTGAGAAGTTAGTCCAAACAGACCCTTAGCATCATGATAATTAGAGCTAGCCAAACCCAAACAGGGCTCTGTGTGTGTGTGTGTGTGTGTGAGTAAGAGCCAACTAGAATTGTTTGCATGCCCATTTTTAAAATTTGCTCGTGATGAAAACTGTAGGAGAAACAGATACTTCTTTTGACAGTAAATAAACTAAACATTGAGTTTTCGCTATATAATGTGCAGAAAAAGAAAACTAATTAGATAGTAATAATTCAGATTCAAGACATTCTAATCAAACATTTATTGGAATGCAGGAACATTAAATTAAATAGAACCCAAGGCATACTGATACCTCATGTGTAAATGTCCTAACAGGTATACCAAATGCTCTAGCCAGTCCAAAATCTGCAAGCTTCAGCGCATTGGTTTGGCGATCAATAAGCAAATTCTGTGGTTTCAAATCTCGATGCAGAACTCTATGAGAATGGCAGTAAGCAATGCCACGGAGAATTTGATAAAGAAATGTCTGCAAATCATTCATTCAAGTTAAGACAGAAAAAGTTAATCATGTTAATAAAGACCTGCAGAGAAGGAACACAAACATATAAACAAATGACTTTTAGAAGAAGGTGTTCTAAAAGGCAGAACGCATGAACTTCCAGATATTCATGGAAAGGTCTAGCTCACTTTGACCAGGCGTGGATCATTAGCAAATTCAGGAGAAGAATCCATGTGCTTCTTCAAATCCAAGTCTAGATACTCAAAAACCAAGTAAAGGCGCTTCTCACTGTGCACCACATCCTGCAGCCTGTCACCAGAATAACAATCAGATAATTTGTTATATGGAAAATCACAAGAAGAAAAAAGATCTAAACAGTTAAGAATAGATAGTGATAAAGGAGAAAGAAAGTTATAGCAAAAACAGTCAGCTAAGATGATTTGACACTGCCAAAAGTGGTGCTAAGTAACTGTTACCAATTCAGCAGAAGAGTGTTTTTTTTTTTTTTTTAAGCAAAGAAAACTATTACAAGGTAGCAAGGCAGTGATATGTATAAAGAATGAATTGATAAACTGTGCACATCATTTACACTTGCAAAAGCTTTCCTTCTATTCTAGAAATATAAAATCCTACTATAATCATCTAGGAAAGAGAACAAGAAAAGCTCGTCACCCCAAATACCCTTTTGCTTGTTTCCATGGAATGCAACAACACAACTCCATATTTTCAACAACACAACCCCAAAAAGCCTAAATGAGATGTGGCCTTGTTCAAGATGCAAACAAGTAGTTGCCCCTCCACCTTTATCCCAATCCAACACTTTAGAAATATGTTTGGAGGCCTGCTCCATAAGCATGATTCGAGGTTAGCACCTGGGAGTTGTAGTATGGTTTGGCATAATGCAGTGGAAAGCGAAAAGGAGACGGAAATTGTAATTACCTGACAATGTTACCATGCTGCATCTCTTTCAAGAGAGAAATTTCTCGGATAGCAGTGCTGGGTACGCCCTCATCTTCCTGCTCTAACCGGATCTTCTTCAAAGCAATGGTCTCATTAGTGACACGATCACGAGCTTTATAGACCACTCCGTAGGTTCCTTCACCAATTTTTTCCACTTTCTCATACTAAACCCAAACAAATTAATTGAGTAATTAATTAAGAGCCAGTAAAACAAAGAAACGCAAAATTAATGATGATTATAAGAGCAATGTCTAGAACACAACACAGATTATTATTATTATTATTATTGATTACCTGCTCCATGGGTATGGGTATGGGTTGGTCAAATCAAACACCGCCTCTCTCTCTCTCTCTCTCTCCCTCTGCAACAAACAAAAGAACAAATTAACAACAATATGAGGAAAATATAATAAAAAAGATGAAAGGCAGGCAGGCAATTCAGCGAAGCAAATGCAGCACCGGCAGTGTTTAGTAGTAGAAGCAAAATCAATTACGGTGATTATTATGAAAAGGGATTGGGCAAACTAAGAAAGAAAGAAAGAAAGAAACCCTAGCTTTTTCTTCAGCTTTTGGTATTGGCAGATTAGATTGATACAGAAATGGGAGATCGATCGGATGGAGTATTACTTACCTCTTCTCTTCTCTTCTCTTCTTTCTCTTCTCTTACCACAAAGAAAGAAGAAGGTGAAGGGAAAGGAAAGGAAGGAAGCAGAATCACTCACTCTGCAACTTCGTTACGCTCTTCCTGTCCGTTTTACTCTTTTTTTTTTTATCCCTAGTCACTCGAACAAATGCTCTCTTTAGTCAATAATCGTTGTGGTTTCCATTTTTTACAGATTACATATTTTTAGTTTCAAATGGAATCCAAAAGTTAGGAAAGAAATAATTTTTTTGTAAAAAATTATAAAATCCAAAACACATAAAAACAAAATTTTCATAAAAAAATTAATTAGAAATTAATGTTTATGAAAAAAAATACACAAATTGAATCAAGTATGTTTCATCAATAATTGATAATTTTATCATTGATTGATGAAGTAAAAATATAAAATCCTTTTTTCAAAATATATAAAAACAAACTTTTATGTGGTGATTAAACAAAATGTTAGCAAAAAAATAAAATTATAAAAAAACATTAATTAATAAAAAAATACCAAATAATTTTTTTTATTTATGAATTTAAGTTAAAAATAATTTTCAGTATACGTCATCCTCCTATTTTTGCCCCCATTAAATATACAAAAAAGAAGGGAAAAAAAAAGAAAATGAAAAAAAATAATTTCAGGCTTGGACAGCCTAGACACACTAGGCCAAGCAGGAGGCCTAGGCTTGCTCAGCCCAGACACCATAGGCCCAAGACTGGCTGCCTGGATGTCCACCCCAATTAGCCTTAGAAGAGGGGTACGCAGCCCAGACGAGGTAGGCCCAAGTCTGGCTGCCTGTATGTCCAGCCCAATTACCCTCGGAAGAGGAGGAGGTTCGGCCGAAACTGAGAGGGCCGTTATTGGACACAAATCGTATTATTTGTAATAGAATAGATCTATCCATAGGCTATTACTATCATACTACAGTTGCAAATTGTGTATCATTTCTGGGGAATACGTAAGACTTTAAAACTTGAGTAAATTATAAATTAGTCCTTGTAGTTCAAAGAAATAAATTGATTAATCCTTCTTATGATATATACTACAATTGCAAGCATTGAGAGTAGAGAGAGAGAGAGAGAGAGAACAGAAATGGAGATGGAGATGGAGCAACTACTGAGCATGGGTTTTCCTGATGAATTGGCGGCTCAAGCTCTGGCGGCCACCGGTGGCAAATCAACTGTCAAAGCCACCGAGTGGATTCTCTCCCAAAAATCATCACCTCATCATCCTACTCCTAATAACAACCCATCTTCCACTTCAAACAACAACCCAAAGCCAAATGGATTCTTCCAACAGCCAAAACTAGACCGCTTCTTTCGTTTCCCATCACCAAAACCGCCACAAATACCATCCTCCTCCTCCAATTCTCCCACCCAAACGCCCACACCACCACCACAAGAAGAACACGAGGATTTATTAACACTATCAACCCCTAATCCAATCCCTATTCCTCCCTCTTCTAAACGTCCCAAATTACTTATTCCATCATCCACCTCAACTCCTCCTAATCATACTACTACTAGTGATCAGCCCTTATCCGAACGCATGCGGCACGAGGATTTATTAACACTATCAACCCCTAATCCAATCCCTATTCCTCCCTCTTCTAAACGTCCCAAATTACTTGTTCCATCATCCACCTCAACTCCTCCTAATCATACTACTACCAGTGATCAGCCCTTATCCGAACGCATGCGGCCGCGCTCGATCGATGACGTTATCGGCCAGGACCTCCTTCTTTCCCAAAACTCTCTCCTCCGCTCTGCTATCCGTTGCACCCGCATCCCTTCTATTATCCTCTGGGGCCCTCCTGGTACTGGTAAGACCTCAATTGCTCGTGCTATTGTCAATTCCGCTAACTCTCACGGCTTGTCTTCCTATCGTTTTGTTTCTTTGTCTGCTGTTACATGTGGAGTTAAGGATGTTAGGGATAATGTTGAAGATGCTAGGAAGTTCAAACTTAAGAATGGTAAAAGGACTGTCCTTTTTCTTGATGAGGTTCACAGGTTTAACAAGTCTCAGCAGGATTCTTTCTTGCCTGTTATTGAAGATGGTACCATTGTGTTTATTGGGGCCACTACTGAGAACCCTTCTTTCCATTTGATCACACCATTGCTTTCTCGCTGTAGAGTTCTCACGCTTTCCCCTTTAGAGCCTCGCCATGTACAGACCATTTTAATGCGCGCAGTGAATGATCCTGACAATGGATTATCTAAGAGCTTAGGGGATTTGGGAGTTGATGTGAGTGAGGATGCTATTGAATTTTTATCGATGAATTGCGATGGTGACGCGCGTGTGGCGTTGAATGCCTTGGAAGTTTCTGCTACAACTGCAGCTGCACGAGTGAAAAGTGATGGGGATTTGAGTTTGGCGAGTGTTACCTTGGATGATGCCAAGGAGGCGCTTCAAAGCAAGCATCTTGCTTATGATAGAGCAGGGGAAGAGCATTATAATCTCATAAGTGCACTTCACAAGTCTATGAGAGGAAGCGATGCAGATGCATCCATTTATTGGTTGGTGAGGATGTTAGAAGGAGGCGAACAGCCTCTTTATATTGCAAGGCGTTTGGTAAGGTTTGCAAGTGAGGATGTTGGCTTGGCTGATCCTCTAGCACTTAACCAGGCTGTTGCTTGCTACCAAGCTTGCCATTTCTTGGGCATGCCCGAGTGCGATGTGATTCTTGCTCAGTGTGTAGCTTACTTGGCTTTGGCTCCTAAATCCATATCTGTCTATCGAGCAATGGGAGCTGCACAGAAGGTTGTTAGAGAATCAGTCGGACAAAATGAAGGAGTGCCAATTCATTTGAGAAACGCACCTACCAAGTTAATGAAAGAGCTTGGGTATGGGAAGGACTATATCTACACTCCTGATGATCCCACTGCAAAACAGAGCTTTTTACCACCTTCGCTCCAGGGCTACAAGTTCCTTGATTGGCCAGCCAGTGATGCCAATAATAGATGAGAAATTGTTTGATCTCCAGCATAGGTTTTGGAAGCCGGCAGTTAATGTGCATTAGCAGCTAGTTTCTGTTATTGTGTGTGGGTGTGTGCCTGATAGTTTTTGTTGTAACACTCTGCTGCTGTTTTGTTAATATTCTGACACCATGTTGGTTTTTGGAACTGAATAGAAACATGGCTTACAAGCGTATAGGAAAGTCTAATGTACTTGACGATCTTAAACTATGAATGGACCAAGTCTCCGGTTGGAGTTATACCTTGATTTATCAAGTGATGCGTTTGTGCTTCCTGCTTCCTGCTTGGAGGTTAAATAGCTTTGTGCTTGATTTATCCAGTGATGTCTTTGTGCTTGATGTATCCAATGATGTCTTTGTGCTTGCTACTTTGTGACAGCTGACTCATTTTGTCATGTTTTCAAATTTAACGGGGCTGTCATTTTCTTTCCTCTGCTGGCACAAAAACAACATAATTAAAATATTTTGCCCTTTTGCTTAACAAACTCAAACTATGAGCTTGGAAGTGGTGACAAATATGATACATAATTCACAAATTCTTTGTGTTGCCCTTTCCCCGTTTTCCATTAGTCTTCTTCTTTGTCTTTTTCTCTTTCTTGTAAAATCCCTTATTTCTCTATGCCTTCTCTTCCTCTTTGCTCTTTTTTTTTTTTTTTTTTCGCTGTCGCTGGTATTCCCTCTCTCTGGATTTCTTTACATGACCTTCATCCATGTTGTTGCCTGTGTTGTTCTCATTAATTTCCTTGCACTTTCTTCTTTCTGCTTCTGTTGTTCTTTGTTTTTTTTTTCCTTTCATGCGGGTGTTTCTTCTCTTTTGCTTGATTCTGCACCTCCTCATTCGTCTATCTCTTCTGTTTCTTTTTGGGTCATGGGTTTCTGCACAAGTTTTTGGTTGTTGTTTGCTATTTACCTTGTTTCCTCTGTTGCTTCATTCTTTTTGGCAAATTTCCTGCATCGTTGTGGGTTTCACATGTAGTAATTCGACCATTTTTAACTATTTGTTTGTCTTCCTTTGCCTTTTGTGCCCTCTCATAAGTGTTTGTGAAAAGATGTGTTTCTTCTATTAAGAAATTCTCATGAATCATTGTTTGTACATTAGACTTACTAAGATTTCACCATAATTCACAAATATGATACATAGATACAACCAGTCAGTCAGTCAGTCAAACTAAATTTGGCCCCCAGATTACAACATAAGAAATTACCTCCTCATGAGTTATTACTAGAACTCAATCATGCATAGTGAGCCTATTACATGGAGAGACAGGCAGCCTCTTTGAAACGCTCGCAATAGGCGCTACTGAAAGGGTGGCTGCCTTATTTTTGGAGCCCAATTTCATGCTAACTGCACAACTCAAAAGAGCAAATCAGTCAATCCCCCTGCAGAGCTAGAGGAGAGGGAGGGGGCTGTCCGTGGATGGGGTTTTGAATATTTATATCAATCAACTATGACACTAAAGGCAATATTCTACACTTCATCTGTAAATAACCGGTGAAGAATGTCACTCAGTAATACTGCTTTGTTTTGGCTTTGTCCTGTCTTCCAGACCTTGAACCCTGGAGGAAAGTAGTCAGAATCATTCCAATGTTTTAATAATGTCAACGAGAAGGGACCTTGTATATCTCCTTGGGGATCTAAATAAAGCCACAAACAACTTCCCCGATCACAATCAATAGTCTGAACACTATCTCGATGCCTTGGGCCTTCATCTTCTTCACTGTCGCTCAAATCTATCACCTGCACATCTATTGTGCGTTGAGGGTGCTTCTTCTCTTCTATGTTGACAGAAAGCATTTCACTGTTGCTCTCCTTGAAGATGTTTGTTGATTGCTTTGGCTGATCTTCCACAAAAACATCATGCTGGCAATCTGAACAGAATCATGTTATACCAATGAGCAATAAGAATTGAAGGGTTAAGAATACCCTGCTGATTCGTACAAAGATGAGAAACCTTCTAAACAGAAATGATTAATTCAAGATGGCCAAGATAAGCAAATGAATACCCTCTTTTTTCCGAACATTTCACGGTTTGTCCCCAACAGAACAGAGTATAAAACATCTAAAATAAGAGAATTATACAGATTCCCATCTGACAAGGAACCATAAAATTATGAAGCTGTAAGTGCCTGCATGCACCACCAATAGGAGGCAGGGGAAATTTGCAAGGCAGGGAGGTTTGGCAAGGGGATGCAGCATCCTTTGAGGAGGAAAATCATTTCCCCAACATGTTGAAGGATATATAGTTAATACTATACAAAACTAGCATAAGCAGGATTTCTTAAATTTTTTTGTTGTTGCTTGTTTTATATGCAATCTTGCTAGTAGCATAGGTTGAAGTATTTCTGTATGCAGCTTCTTTACCTCAAATGGCTCATTCTTCTTTAATGCCTACTGCCTAGTTTATAAAAAAAAAAAAAACACACCACCTTTTCTAGGCAAATAGAAAAAGCTCATTACTTTCTCTGTAGTTACCCCTTACCACCAAATGTGATAAAATTGCATCACTCCCTATGATAGACAACAATAACTGGAATGCCTGTACTATATGAAGTAAAGTGATGACCGATCTATGTTTCTTTTGAATCATGAAAGAACTTAGAGGAAAATATTGACCACTTGCTTCTAGAACAAAATAATTTGTCAAGCAATTCCCAATTTCCTTCCCTCTAACCTAGATATCCCAATTCCAAATTCTCAAACAACAAAGAAAAAACAAAAGATATCCCAATTCCAGATAACTGTTTTATAAAGAGAAGGGAATAAAATATGAAAGAGAATAATTTACCCTTTATATTGCTTTGTTTTGGTGTTGCCAGGACAGCTTGGTTTCCCGAAAAAGAAAGAAAACAATTTCATATTGTTTAATAAAACTAAAGTTGTTATGTCTCACAGCAATGCTGGAGAATTTATACAAGTATTGACATCCAACATTACAACTCATTTTGATACATTTATTTTGGATAGTGAACTCAGAAAAAAATAAATGAATATTAAAGGTTTACTGTAGAGAATACTGCCATAGACTCTGCTTGGTATCAGGAGATGAACGGGTAAGATAAATTGCCTCAGTTCTACAGTACAAGAAGAAGTGTTATACTACCCTAAGCTCACGCTTCCAACTAAAAATGCAAGAGGGGACATATCAACTTTATGCATGCCAAATGTGCATCCAATGGATCAGTGCTTTCCAAAATTAATGTGCTGTATCCTTCAAATGATTATATTAAGACCTATATGAATGTAGGTTAACACGGCCACCCATACTCACAGGCAAAGTTTTTTATACCATACACGGTCTAAGGATACACAGCATCTAAGAAATTATCCTGTGAACACAGGGTTCCATATAGCTGATCACTCACCCTGTATAGAAGAAACAGAAACTGAAGAGGTCTTAAATTTCCTACAAGCTTACCACACCATGTTACCGTACCACAAGCTTCCTAGTATTTAAATGTTTAAACAACTTATTTTGCAAGCTTAGCTTGCTCACATCTTCAACATGAATCATGATTTCAAAACCCATTCTATGGTAGGAGCGTGCAAGGCATTTTGCAATATGATAAGTAATTTGGAAATTGCTTATAAATAATATTGAATTGTCTAAACCCGCAAGCAAATCACTGCAGCCTTCAAAATCAAAATACAATCTCAATCTTCACAGTTTCTCAGAAATCGTAGATTTATTTATGGTTTCTAATTCCTATCAGACAAATTGGCAGTTGTTCTTCAATGGATCGCCAAAGGGGTTGGAGTGCCTTATTATTTTGGACTAGATTGTTGTCTTTTTTTTCCTACTTGAGAAAATGTCTTAATCTACATTTATGTATTACTAGTTGGTTGTCCGCATTATCCTGCAGGTAAAGCATAACATATGAAATCATTTGTAAAAAATAGTTTTAATTTGATAGCATGTATTATGTTACAAGTCTGCTAAAATATATTGAATTAAGGGTAAAAACAAATTAATCTAATTTTATAATTTATTCTTTCTTGTGATTTTCATAAATTTTGTAGCTAAAAAACACGATTTGTTAATTTTTATGTATTGATATTGAAATATAATCTGATTTCATAAGAATTTCCATAAGAAATGACAAATAAAAAAAAATAATGTTAAACAATAAGAGTAATATAATCTGATCGATATATATATATATTAAATTCTGAAAAATTATAATTGATTTTTTATAATCTTTGCAGCCAATTCAATGATAAAAAAAAACAAAAGCAAAAAAATAAAAAATAAAAAGCATTTCAATGCACATTAAAATATATATAGATATATATCAACTCGAAAAATTTAATTTTTATTAAGTTCCAATCAATCTCTTTCAACTATTTTATGACTTAAAACTATTATAAACACACTCTTCTCACTAAGATAAACAATATAAATGTAATATCAGCTACAAAAGAGACCAAAATTAAAGCCGATTATGGCTTTCTCTCTCCTCTCTCTGCATTTAGGACTAAATTACAACATAAATAAACTTGAAAACCAAAATAAAATTTTTGAAAACATCAGGGATCAAAGTGCAACATTAGAAAAACCAGCACATAAATGCCTCGAGACAACCTAAAAATCACAAAAAATGCAACTGCATAGTGCACATGAGTCTAAATGAACAATAAATGAATAGTATTGAGGTGAATAGTATCATGAATAGTAAATATCCTAAATCTTTTAGTGTTTTTTTCTAATTCTTTTCCCACCCTTCTAATAAAAATTTCTTCTTTCATCTGAAAAAGAAAATACCGCATGCAAATGCTTTCTAAGCAAAAACAATATTCTTCATTTCCCCACTCAGTTGTAAATACCAGATCATATAGATGTATGCAAACAGACATGCAGATGCATGTGCAAATATGCGCCCACTAGAGAAACAAAAAATTTTCTTCTGGCGCAACATCACTAGAAAGAATAACTGAATGTTACTGACATACCTGCAGAATTCTTGCTGAAAGAAATCCAGGTCAATGAAGTTTTATTTGAAGCTACATCAGAATTAGGAATTTCCAAAACTCCATTGAGAGATGATTTTGGTGAACCATCATTTCCTCGTTTTATATCCACTGGAAAATCCTCTGGCACAAGCTCAACTTCTAATTCTTCGGCAATGACTTTCGGAATGTCAAGCAACAGCCGTGTCTGTTCATCTGGAGTCTCAAGCAGCTTCTTTTTTTCCAAGTACTCAAACAGCGTAAAAGCTCGAGCGAGTTAAGGATTCAAAATATAATGCTGCAGTAGGTAGACAAAGCAAGAGGAAGTATAATGCAAGGAACAGAGGAAAAGATTAATATGGAGGCATTGCATTTCTAAAATCAAATCCGTTTGTGGTATAGTTTATCATAAAAGTAAAAAAAAGAAGGAAAGGTAAAACTTTGACTATTTGTTTGCATGTAAAATGGCTCCTAGAGTAAAAACCCTGTCATGAAAAAAAAAAAAAAACACAAAAATCTCTACACATACATCTGATGCTCAGTTCAAAGTATGGAAAAGCTTTCTCGGGGAGTGGAATCAAAATTCAGGACAAATTAGACCCTAAAGTTTGACTGTTTGAGAAACCTAACTAGGCTACCAGCCATATGGATTAATGATTCTACCCAAATGGATAGGATGTATGCCATTAATTTAACTATTACTCATAGAAAATTTTATAGTGCCTCGGCAAAATCAAAATCCCATATCCTTTTCCATTTTGAGTAGACTCAATGCATTCCCTTTTCCATGATTAGACTGTGATTGACCCTCAACTTTTTGGCCTTGAAATCAAATTGTGACTGGTTTCTTCATGCATACAATGATTCCTAAGACTTGAATTTCCTCAAGGAACTAATGATAGTTATCCAACTCATCGATGATCTATTACCTGAACAAATGTGACTTTTAGCCCACAGCATTTAAGATGTGACTTTTGGCCCACAGCATTTAAGAAGTGAAGCACGCAAGTCTTAACCAATAGCAGTAGGCACCAGCCAGAGCCATGCAATTATCGAGCAAATTTGCTATCACTAAATCATAGAGAATCATGAGTTCTTTGATAAACTAAATGGGATTGATTTTTGTCCTAAAGCACAGTATTTCTTGGTGATAATCAATTATATTAGTCTGGGAAACTTAATATGATAATTCATGAAATGTTGGCCTCAGAGCAATCCCAGAGGGAATAGTAATAACAAGGAAGGATATTCTCTACGCCAACCCTTTTCATTTGCCCGATCAATGAGCTTTTGAAGAAAAGCTAGTTCTCCACGGAGCCACTGAAAGAAATCCACATTTAGAGGCAAAAAGTTTGAAGAACAGACCTTAAACAAATCACGAGGATCATACATGATCCCCTGTAAAGATGCTAGAACCAATATTTGAAGTGGCTTACTGTCACAGAGCATATAAAATAATTACATGGAAATTTTGTTATTTACACTTTAGCAAGTTAAAGCACATGAAAGATAAACATAATAGACTATTGAAGAATGGCATCTTTGAAACCAACATTTAAAGTCTGGATTTCACAAAGCATATAAGATGATCAGAAATAGACGCACAATTTGAAGCTTAGACATCCACAAGCTAAGTGCACATGACAGAAAAACATAATAAATCAATAAAATAAAATAAAATGACATAGTCCATCAGAAGTCGTAACCCTCCGGGGAAAAAAAGTTATGAATGTTATAGTATATCTAAAATCCTCAAAACAACAACAACATAATAAACAATTCAAGACACCATCTTCGAAACATTTAGTGGGTTCTTACTTCTTGCTCTGTCAAAATAATGAAAGAGTTAAGAACTATTCTTACAATACCAATGTAATGATTGTCCCTGATACCATTTTGCATGGCATTCAGCACAAAAACTGTGACTAGAAATGGGTATTAAAGAATGCAACATCATCATAAAAGTTGACACTAGGTGTTTCATGAATTTTTAGAAGGATTATCGGAGGCTATAGCAATTATAACGACTTTCCCCAATTAACCCTATTTGAGATGATAGATTTGTGTGTTGGATTCTCGACTTACCAGCGAAGTAATTTACTTCTATAGGGCAACCAAATTTGAGATGCATCAAGGGGCAAAGTAAAGTACTTGTGATTTCTCATTATCAATATAAACTTGCTAATCATGGTAATTCAATACTTCAATTTAGATGAAATTATAGTTCAGAGGTTACAAAAGGCCTGCCAGCAAGGACCTACACCATTCAAACATTGTAGTACATACATAAATTCCCAGATGCAGTGAGGTTTATCAATTTCCTAAGTTTCATTGTAAATGCACATTGTCCACATCTTTTTGAATGCATTCTAAGTTTTTCATATGGAACATCCAGAATGTTTGTAATTCATATAGGCTTATTGACACCTCAACCTCACTAGTAAAACTGTAAAACACCTAGTCCCAACAGAAACATTCAACAACCTGTAAGCAAATATGAACTGAGGAGAACAGAAAAAATAAAATGGGCTAACCAACCATTTCGTTCATGGTTAAGTTTTCCTTTTAGTCCAGTACCTACCTGCTTAGTTATATCTTCATGCAGAACTTGAACCTTCTCTTCAAGCTCTACCTGTTAAAAGTTTAAAATGTAAGCTGTCAAAACATTGAGGGATGGAAAACCTTATAAGAAGGTTAACAGACAACTCAATTACCTAGGTAAACAAGGCACATCTTGTTATCAGGTAGTAAAATATACTAATATATAAATCTAGGGAGCCAGATATCTAGGCAAACAGTGCAACATACCAGCATTTTTATAAGAAGCCATGTTATACACTTTCTTCAGACACAGAGAATAGTGGTTATTTTTACCACTATTCTCTGTGCATGAAATTTCTTTGCTTGTCAAATATAAAGCTTAGGGTGTGAAGAAAACCATACGGGAAAAAAATTCCACATCATTCACAGTGAGAATAACCCGAACTACAGAGGTAATGCTACAAAACTAGGCAAGAAAATAGAAAACTTACAACAGTTGGCCTCTTGAGTGAACCGTCTCTTACTCTCCGATTCAAATCTTCACATTCTTCCTGCAACCAACAGAACAAGGCTATGCGTGAATGCCTACAACTTTACATAATTGTCTATGAGCTTACATTTTTCAGAATCTTAACCGAAGCCAGTCAACAAAAATGTTGACTTTGTCATCCACACCATATACAGCAGCTGCATCAATCTCCAACTTCTTATAGATACATTCAAGCCCATTTCTCAAGACCCTCATAAGACCTCAGATTAAAAGTGAAACTCTTACTAAAAGAACACAGAAACAATCCAGTAATAGAAAGAGAAGAAAAGGGCACAGAAGTATTTATGGTCGAGTCAAAAAGCACATCCTCAAAATATATCAAGATCTCTGTTATGAGATTCTTTAAGATACTATAGCTTTTCTGTTACAGTTTCATCCTAGTAATGCCTAGAAACTTGTACAACCAACCAACTCTTCAGAAAATTTCTCCATTCCAGCTGACAAGAAAAACATCATAAAATAGCCTTCGATTATTATCCAAGGGAATAAATGCGTTTTCTTTCTCAACTGTCTCTTAAATTTTGAAACGTTGGCATTCAGGATTTCTGTGGAAAATACTAAACAAGAAAAAAAAATTCTGAAGAAAATTACATCAAAAGCTGGTTTTCACTTCCTTTCTTCAAAAGTTTCATGCCAGTATCATATGATGAAAGAAGCTTTTGATGAAAAAGATAAGCTGCCTGGCATCAAGAATACCTTTCTTTTTTTCCCCCTACCAATTTCCAGTTAGACTTTGAAAAAAAAAAAAAAACTATGTTATAAAAACAAATAGAAAAAACCTAAATGGAAAGCCATATGGCTTTACCTTTTTAACTAAAATGTCATTTTAATACTTGAGATTTGAAAACAAAAATCAGTTTCCTTAATACGCACAATCACCCAATTTCATTCCATAAACAAGAATCATATCATCATTCCAACATGAGTAGGGGAAAAAATAAGTCCAAGACATGTGGATGTTGCGGATCAAAGTCACATTTCTATCTAATAAAGGTCTAATTGATTAAAAAAATATAGATTCGCAGCCCATAATATAATTTGTTACTTGATTATCAACTGAGTTTTTTACGACTTTTAAGCATCTGCAAAATTTCAATGAAAATATTGGCCAGTAAGCACTCAACAAGAAAAGGAGACAGTACCAAACTACTGTCTATTGTTTGATATCTAGCTAGGTATCAGAGTCCATAAAATGTGAAAACATGCAATATTTTAAAAGAATTAGCAAAATGTGTTACTTACCTTGGAAAAATTGTCATCGGAAAGCATAGATATCTGCACGTCTTTGATATAATTTGAAACTTCAAGAAGCAATTCTGCGTTAATATTATCAGTGCTGGAAGACTCCACTGAACCTAGAGAATAGACAACACAAACACCAAAAGATAATTATCTACAGTAGGGATAAATAATTCCTAACAAATGTTTCCTTCATTTCAACAAAAATAACTAACAAATGTAATCCAAATATACCAGCATCCATGCAATAAAGGAAATTGATAAAAAATTGAATGTGGATTAGCAAATAGAAGCTCAAAGGGGTTCGTAAATAAGTATTGCTTTATAGCAGAAGCAAAGGATGCTAATAACAGTAAGTAACCAACCAGTGACTTGCACGAGCATGTGAGAGTTTTTTTGGAGATAATCATTCGGATCAGACTTGATTCTTACAAAGCTTCCAACAATTTTTCTTTGAAACGTTTCTGGGTTGTTCTTGGCAAGATCCTGAACTAAACTCCTCTTCAAATAAACAAGCTTAATGTTATCAGAAACAATAGCAGCAAAACAGCTCTTGGGAGCTTCAAAAACCCTTTTCTTAGAATGTAATTTTTTCTCTGAAGCTGAACTCTTCCGGCATTCGCAGGCATTATCCACCTCATAATCGGAAGTATCGAAAAAATCATCATCAGAACCAACTTTGTTTTCAGCAAAATGGGGTTCGAGCAGGTCATAGATTCGGATTCGACTGATGGTTTTCCTTAGAAAAAGAGGAAGAAGCCACTCATCGCAAATAACCCTCTTCTTTTTAGTGGGGTGGAGGAGGTTACGGTCCTTGACATACTTGTTAATGATGGCAGTAACATCATGTTGAGAAATCTGATTAGTGGTATCAATATCAATAGATTTAAGGAATTCAATGAGCAGAGTGGAGCCCCATCCAGTAAATTCAAATTTCCTAGGCATTCGAGCCTTTCTTTTGGAGGTTGAAGGAGGAGCAAACAGTTGGGGGGCATCAGTATATTCTTCCATCCAAACAAAATCACCCATTTTTCTTTTAATAATAATAATAATCACTCTTCTCCCTCGGTGATAGCCTGCATGCAAACAGAATAATAATGATAACACAATAATAAGAGCATGTAGGATAGGCAAATTATTTATTTCAACAATAATAATGATAATGATAATAACAATAGAACTCAAAAAAATCAATTTTTTAACAAGACACGGAAATGGAAAGGGATGGAAGGGGGAAAAAAGAAAGGAAATGGAAGATAAGTACCTTGACGACTGCTTTCTGACAGAAAAGAAAGGATAGTTTCTCTTCTCACCTCCGCTCCACTCCTGCGATTACTCTACTCGTCTCTCTAGAAGAAGAAGGCCATTGAAAGGAAACGGAAGGGAAAGAAATGGGCGTTGATTCTGTCGATGATTAGGTGGGGACTAGGGAGGGAACTGTCTACCTTGCCTGTCATTCTTGGGCTTCGCAAATCAGAAATCACCTCGCTGGCCCGTTACTATTACCCACTGGGCTTTTCATTTTATTACTTTTTCGGTTTTTTCAGTTTCCAAGCCTCTCCTCCATATATGATGTCCTCTTGTCACTGTCCGCCGGGCCCATTTATCTATTTACTTATTTTATTTAGTGTTTCAAAGGTATGGATAACAAATTACTTCTTTTTAGATGATGTACGGATCTACAGGAGGGTCAACAAATCATACTCTGCTCGAATCATAATAAATCTAAATATATTTTGTTTAATAAAAGAAATCAGATCAAAATTTATGAATTGGCATTAAATTTTTAAATTTTGAATTTGAGTCTTCGTAAATTTTAAAATTTTGAATTTGAATCTTAATGGATGCATATCAAATTCAAAGTTCCATTGAATTTATTATTTAATTTTTGTAAAAAAAATTATACTATATATATATACCACTATTATTTAAAAATTCTAAAACTCTATAATATATATTATATCAATTTATTTTTTCAAAAAAATAAATTTTAAAAATTTTATTTTAAAATTCATACATAGAGAGATATAAATATATCAATAAAAAAATTATAAAAAATCAATTGGATGAGAAATTCCAAAAGAAATGACAAATTAAATAAATAAAATTTAAATAATAAGATTAATATAATCTGAAATATATATTAATTTTAAACTATAAAAAATATTATATATATTTTATCTTTGTTAGGTTGCATGAGAAAGACAAAAAAATAGCGTTCAACCTTCAATAATTTTCGCTTTAAGTCCTTAATTAACTAATAAACTAAAGGAAAATGATATTTTACTATAGCTACGCTATTTCAAACACTCGTACACACACTCACATTTCACTCGTTCGACCTCTCACAATTCACTCGTTACTTTCACTATTCATAACTTTTTTTACACTTTCGTCCCCGATATTATCAAGCGCATATTTCGATCCATATGTTCATTTGCTCATCCATTTTGATCTCTAGATGGAAAGAAAAGGCCGAGAGAAAGAGAGAGACGAGGAGGAAAGAGGGATCACTACCCAAGCTCATTTAGGCTATTCCGCTCGACGAAAATTCGCTAGAGTTTTTTACCTTTGAGAGATGAGTTTGTCCATTGTGGTTTCAAGCCATTAAACAATTAAAGGAGGTAGATCGGAGCAAAAAAAAAAAAAAATCCTATTTAATTTTGTATTTTTCTTTTGTGTTTTGTGTGTATTAAAATGATTTTTAAGATTTTAGATGTGTTTATTGGCTTTATTCTGATCATTTAAAGGTGTTTGGGAAAAAAATGATGCCGAAATTAAATTTTCAGGAATATGAAAGTTGGCTTTCGATTTTTCGACGAACTTCTAGTGACCTCGGGTTCTTTGGAAGTTGCGGGTTTTTTTTTTTTTTTTTTTTTTTGACGAGCAAACTCGGCACGCGGGCTTGCCATGCCTAGCCTCCCTCACATTTTTTTTTAATATGCGCAACCTGATTGCACAAGCCAACTAGCGCCCCCTATATATACATTAAAGAAGGAAAAAAAAACAATTAAGAAAAAAGTCTACCAAAAAATAAAAAATGAAAAATATAAAAAATAAATCATTATTTTTTAAGTTTTCCGTAAAGTTTAAAGATGATATATATATATATATATATATATATCTTACTTTTATTGTTTAAATTTAATTTTTTAATTATTTATTTCTTATTAAAATTCACATAAAAACAATGTTTTGAATTAATTTTATTTTTTTAATATATGAATTTTGAAATGAAATTTTAGAACATCGATGTTTTATTTTTTAAATATATCATTATAATTTATACAATATTTTTTTTATTTTTTAAATGAAATTTTTTTGTTGATTATTTTTATTATTTCAAATTTACTACTTTAATTAGTCATTTTTTTTAAATCCTAATCCATTTAATTTCAAATTACATTAAAAAATTTTAAATTTTTTTTCACATTTGATTTAATATATTTTTATACATTCATACTATAAAATAAATTATCAAACTAAAATAATTTTTCTAAATGATTTTTTATTTTACCTTCGGGGTAGAGTGGACAAAAAACCTAATAAAAACTAAAATAAAATATTTTTTGAAGAAAGGCCAAAAAAGCCCAACAGGCCTGTGCACTTGGGCCTCTAGAACCAAGTCCGAGTAGGCCGAGCTTAAAAAATAAATAAATTAAAATAGACGACATGTCCGTTCATAATTTTTAGAAAAGAACATATGAGTTTAAACTTACTTGCAATTTGTTGAATTTCCAAAACAAGACATATTGCAACACAAATGCATGTTCTTATTTAGTAAAAAAAAAAAAAAAAACCTAACAAATCCTCTTTGTTTCAAGGCTAATTATTTAATTTTTATGTTTTTCAGCTAAGAAAAAAAGATAACTAATGAATCCTCTTTGTCTCGAGACTAATTATTTAATTTATATTTTTTTAATTTTATTGTACATAATTACGTTGATTCCTTTTATTTTAATAAATAAAAAAGGTAAATAAAAATATGAAAGGACTAATGAAATAAAATAATATTAAATTAAATAATTAAATAATTAATTTTAAAAAATGACTAATTAATTTATTTTTTAAAAACTAGAAAGAATAATTTATAATTTAGTCGTGCAAAATTTAAAAAGGACAAAGACAGAAGGTAAAAAAAGGGAAAAAAAAAAAGGTCATGATTGATGATGATAATGGTGAGCGTCGTGGTTGTCTGCGAGATAGATTTTGGGTTCCCTTCATCGACACGCACACCATCATCATCCTTAGTATTATTAAAGAAAAGAAAAGAATTACTCCTAATCTAATCGATGCTCTCATTTTTTCTTTTCTTTTTTTAGTCATATAATTATATTAATTAGGGTTTGGGAAATACGAGCTCCGCCAGTATTAGTAGAAGAAGAAGAAGAAGAAGAGTGCGATTGAAATTGGATGATTGCGAGGGAGACGAAGATGGAGAACGGTGGTCACGAAAGGAAATTAGCAGATAAGCTATCTGGATTATCTCTGAATCATGATTCCAGCCAAAACGACAACAACAGCTTGTTTCAGGTCATGAAAGCCGTCGAAGCTGCCGAGGCTACCATCAAGCAACAGGTATTTCCCATTTTCTTTCTTTCTTTCTTTCTCTCTTTTTTCCTCCAATAATAGATCCATACTCACCCTTGCATGCATTGCTTTTAATTCAAACATTTGCTTTTTGTTTAATTAGTTACCATCCAAATTCCCATTTCCCATAGAAACAATAATCACTAGGGGGTCAGTAAATAATAATCGAGAAAAAGACTTGTGAATCTGCAATTCAAAACAAAACAAAACAAGCTGTTGCTCGATGGGTAATGAAAGAAAAGAACCAGAAATTAAACCCCATAAAAAAAAAAAAAACAACGTTAGAATGATCATTCGATGTGATGTTAGCTATAAACATGCATATGGGAAAGCAACTTCTAATATTAATCTTCATCGACCAATGGTTTCCTTCCCATCAAAGCAACCTGTAGAGGCTTTGGGGCAACTGGAAAGAGATTCTAGAGAGCGTAGAGTTGTTTTTTGATGGAGTAGAACTTTCATTAAACAGCTGAAGATCTGAACACTTTTCACTTCCATACCTTGAAAGGCCAAACACTGCTTACTTGCATCCAATTCACATAATGCGCATCGAAACATATAATTAGAAGCATGAGGCCTAGCCATAATGGATTTTAATGCCAATGGATGTCATCAGGTGGAAGAGAATACGATATTGAGGTCTGAACTTCAGAGCAAGATTCAGGAACTTGACAAATATGTAAGCACTGTGAATTTATACCTTTTGTGATTAGAATAAAACTGTTTCTTTTACGCATTTTTTTTTTTATTTTGGCTTTTTTGTTTGGCAGAAAATAAGCGAACCTTTGGCTGAAAGGTCCCATTCTGTTGATCAATGGAATGAGCGAGTTCATCAGTCAGTGTCATCTGCTGTTGGTGATCCTACCAGTGTACTGGTTCCTGACAACGGGGATCCTGCTACCCAGAGTCATGTTTGGAAGCAGGTATTTGCATGTTGTTCTGCAACAAACGTTTTTCTTTGTTAACATTAGATTTGTGAAACTTTATATATTTGGTAGGATTTTGCTCTCAAGGTTCGTGAAAATGAAGAAGAGATTATGCAGCTAAAGAAACATCTTGCTGACTATTCCGTCAAGGTTGAATTAACATAACTAATCATCATTTGTTTACTCTATGTTCACATGCTATTAAGGAAATTCATTTGTAATTTGGCTTTTGTTGATAGGAAGCACAAATTCGGAATGAAAAGTATGTTCTGGAAAAACGCATTGCTTATATGCGACTGGTAAGTGTGCCTTTTTTCTTTCTTGCTTTTATCAAGAACTTATCTACCTGTCCCTTTGCACAGTTCATCTTGATCTAGTTTTGTTTGAGGAGTATTTCACAAAATTTTAATGGACTTCATGCTGCCAGGCCTTTGATCAACAGCAACAGGACCTTGTTGATGCTGCATCAAAAGCTCTATCATACAGACAAGATATAATAGAGGAGAACATACGTCTTACCTACGAATTGCAAGTAGGTCTCTTGTTTTTATTTCATTGTTTTGGGGTTGATTTTACTTTTTCTATTTCTTTCTTGGATATTTTCACTGTTTTGTCCAATTTTTAGCCAGAGAATTTGACTTACTCCTTTGATTCTTTAGGCTGCACAGCAAGAAAGATCCACATTTGTATCATCATTGCTGCCTCTTCTTGCAGAGTATTCTTGGCAGCCACCAGTTCCTGATGCCCAGTCTATTGTTAGCAATGTTAAGGTCGGTGCCAAATGCTTTCTAATGGTATATTAAGTATATTATGTGCACACAACCCTAAAGGATATATATATTTTTTCTTTCCTCATGTCTCCTTTCTGAGAACCCTTCTGCTTATTTAATTTCTTCTCTAAAAATCAAAAGAAATAAAGAAAGAAGAGCTGTGCATATTGTGATGCATTATTAGCATGTAAATAAATGAAATAAAAAGAGGAGTGTGCTAGCTAAAGAAGTTGTTTCAGCCCAGATGTGATCAGATGAGTTTATTTATTTAGAATCCTAAAACATTATGCATACATGGGTTCCATAACTAGAACCTTGTCTGGATGGAGATCAATGCTTACAAGCAAACTTCAGTCCAAGAATAAACTTCTGTTTATCATTCTGGAGTATTAATCCCTTAAAGTGGAAAATTTGCTCAATCCAGAAACTAATTGTTGATATGGCTACCATATAGGATGTGTTCTTTCGTAGGGATGTGCTATAATTCTGTTCTTAAAAATATAGCTACAGACGCATGAATATTTCTGGCCGTCGAGAGACATGACTGGAGCTTCCTCTTGAAAAGAGAACTTGAAAGACCTTGTCAGTATCTTGACATATTCTCTTCCAATATCCTTTTCATTCCTCAAGTCATTTGTCCCTGGAAAATATTTTCCCGTGGGGAAGGACATAATGTAGAGACTATCCAGGGATTGCTATCTTGTGTCAGGGTAGGTGCTGGTTATATTATTTTGTGTGAGAAGATCAGGTTATAGAGCTCAGTAGAAAAATCTTTTGAACCGTGACAGTACTTTGAAGCATTTCTGAAGCTGGCCTTACATACCTGCCTTTCCCCCTAGTTGTTTCATTTATACATGCTATAAATCACATGCATGTTGTTTACCTGCTGAAGTTTTCTCGTGTAGGTGCTGTTCAGACATCTGCAGGAGAAGCTTATCCATACTGAGGTATGTTATGAAGATATGAGGTTGTCATAAATAGTTCAAGATCATTCATCTTATGTGATCTTTAATTACCAAGTTAACTTCAGTTATGGGGATTTGAGATCTTCTGCTCCTCAGCTTATTGTTTCCATCGTGAATGGATGGGGGTTGATTATCTTCTTTCCACCTGTCCCAGTCAAAGCTCAAGGAGTCTCAGTATCAATTGGCACCTTGGCGTTCAGATGTGAACCACTCAAATTTTGCTCCACAGTCACCTTCTCATGCTGCTTTGGTATGTTGATATCTTGTGCAATTTCATGCAGCATGTCAAAATTATTTCCTTAAATGCTCATTTGTTTTGCCTCTCAGAGAAAAAGTGGCCTTGAATTGGTGCCACAGCCAACTTATTCCCATGGAAAGATACCTATGACTTCTTCTGATACTCAGACAGCATCAGATTGGGATCCATTGAGTCAACATCAGAGTGGCTTGGCTGGTGGTGTTGCAAAAAATCTAGATCTTGATGATGCGGGGAGGTATTCACCTCTTGCTGGCAGGTGAGCCTGGTCAATGGAGACTGCTACTGTGAACTGAATGTACACTGCTTTTGTTGGTGGGTTCTGTCTTCATTAAATTCTTGCATCAATTGGTCATATGCATGATTTATTTTTTCTTTTCTAAATAATGGAATCTCCGTTCCTTCCTTGGAAAATATTGTGCTTTTTACGGTAGCATTATCAACATTTCTTTTTTAAAACGAAAGATATGCTAGCTTTGAACCATCAAAAAGAGAGAGTGACTGTATGCTATGATCTTTGCCTCAACTTTAATTCATCTTTTATGTTTTCATTTTTCTTATTTTCATTCTTCTTTTTTCATGATGTGGACCATATGAAAATATCCTTAAAACTCTGTAACTTGAGCCTACAAAGGCAAGGAAACTGATTTTGTTATAAAATAGTTCCTCTCTGATATACTTGGTAAACCTTGGAAACAAACTGTGCTGAACTTGTGGATATCTCAGTAGTAAACAGCCAAAGTATATGTAGTAACATTGGAGACCTCATTGTTCCTTCTGATTGAATTCATTCTTCGGGCATTGTTGTACTCCACCACTTTAAGTAATATTAAAGGTTGTGCAACCTTTCAGCTACTCAAAAATTGGGCTCTCTTAACTAAGGATCTCTTATAACTTGGCTGCTGCTTCGCGCAAATCCTAGCAGTGTAAGCTGTGCATATCTTGAAATTCTTTAGATTAGCTTTTGACAATCTATTCATTTCAATCATGCATACTTGTCTCTCTCTTTCCCTCTCCTCTTCTTTCCTCTGTCAGGGAATGTCTTTTTCTTCATTTATTCAGATATGCACAGGCTTTGAAGGAATTCTTGTGAATTTGCTTGTTAATTTGTCATGATAAAAATAGTGTGTTATAGATAGAACAATTTCTGCTTTGCTACAAGCTGGTCTTGATCCAGTGACAATGGCTTTTTAGCAGGAATTCAGCAGCCCATGATACCCCGACACATTTTGCAGTTACTAGAGGTGATGCACAAGCTATGCATTATGGTGAAGAAACAACCAATAAACAAGTCATGTTTCGTGACCCTGTCAGCAACAGTGAGATGGATGATCCTGAAGCAGAGGGACACAATGAGAGAGAACCTCCAGCTAATTGGGTATCAGGAAACCCTCCATACTCAAACACATTGGATGATCCTGGCTCCTCATATTCTCCTTACCTACCTCCAGTTCTTGAAGAACCTTCTTCTTCCTTTTCCGAGGGTGAGATTGTATTATTGTTAGAAGCTTGGGACATTCTTTTCCAAGAAATTTCTTAGTTAAGTATTATTGTTGAACATCCCCTTGGATTTATTATGATATGCAGCTGCAGATGATGATCCATTACCGGCTATAGATGGCCTCCAGATTTCAGGCGAAGCATTTCCAGGAAGAGAACTCCAGGCATGTGGATACTCTATCAATGGAACAACCAGTTGTAATTTTGAGGTGTGATTCTGTCACTTAAATTTCCCATGCATTAGTGCTTTTGGTTACAGTTTCTTGGACATTATGTGGAGGCACTTGTGTAGAATGTTGATGTTGCTCTTTACTACTTCTTTCTTCCTTGGTAGTGGGTACGGCATTTGGAAGATGGATCTGTTAATTACATTGAAGGTACTCTCTCTTTTTCATTCTTCTTTCTATCCCTACCTCAGGGCTGTTTCTTAATGCGTTTCTGGTTGCAGGAGCAAAACAACCAAACTATCTTGTTACGGCTGATGATGTTGAAACCTACCTTGCTATTGAAGTCCAGCCTCTGGATGACAAGAGGCGCAAGGTATAAGTTCTCTGTTTGGGCTGGTGATTCCCATGTACATGCAATATTTCGTTCTTCATGTGCACTTGTGTGTCTTTTTCTTGTCTGATTTTCTTCTTGGGTTTCCAATTTCTGCAACAAGCTAGGTGATGTAGGACCAGGACAGACATAAGCTTTGGTAGATGATTTTATTTGCAAAATAAATGATATTATTTCATTTCATTTAGAATATAATTCAGCAATCTAGCTGTATTCAGTATGCGTTAGGAGTTTTATTTTGTTCAAGACTCTATTTTATTTCCAATGTTACTGTAGGATTTCATTAGGGTTTTAGTTTGTATATAAGAGTACTAATCTAATGCTTGAGAGGTTGTTGAATTTATTTTGAAAATTCTGAGGCCTTTGTTTTCTCCCCTTGGTATTCTTCTTCTCAATCCGATTAAATTTGCTTAGCATTTTTTTTTATTTTTTAAATCTTATAGTTAATTTTATCTTATCCCTAGGATATAGAGTTAGGCTTCTTCTTAACTCACATTCAAGGGTTGCTACGTAAGAGTGGCAAATGCTGAGCTCATGCTGCTTAAATTCAGACTCTTAGTTGTACAGGATAGTCAGTCATGGCTTGGGAAAGAGGTGAAGATCCTCGGTCTTTGTAGAACCTCTGATATGAAATTTACTGTTTCCTTTGCAGATGTAGATTTACAATGTAGAAAATGCCAGCTATTGCTTGATGCAGACAACAAAGGAAGCAAAACTTGGCTTTTTGTAGACAAGGATACTTGTATAATTTCTGGAAAATCTGGAAATTTGTCTAAGTCTAGGTTTTATTTTCTATTTAGTATTTTATTAATCACAAGGAGTAACTAGTTTTATTAGGTTTTTCCTACTCTACATAGATTTAGTATTTTCCTTGCAGATGTAGATTTACAATGTAGAAAATGTCCGCTACTGCTTGCTGCAGACAATGAAGGAAGCAAAACTTGTGTCTTTTTGTAGACAAGGATATTTGTATAATTTCTGGAAAATCTGGAAATTTGTCTAAGTCTAAGTCTAGGTTTTGTTTTGTATTTAGTATTTTATTAGTTCCAAGGAGTAATTAGCTTTTTTTGGTTTTTTTTTGGTTTTTTTTGGTTTTTTTTTTCCTATTCTACATAGATTTAGTATTTTCTGACAGCTGCTGGTATAGCTTGGTTGTTCTGTTGGTTGGATCTTGATGCTTAATGAACAAAGCATAGAAATTTAACAAGAATCTTGGTAAAAAATTGTCAGAAGTTGATTTAAGATTAAAAAGAACAATAATAATAAAAGCAAGATGGCAGGCTGTCTCTGTGAGATAGGCTCCTTTTTTCACATGTAATAGCTTTTACAGCTGTTGTAGGTTAGTATAGTGGCTATGGTAAGGAATAGATATAGTATGGGCCTCATAGTTTTCCACTGCATACCTGCTGTTATGTAGGCCTTTTTTTTTTTTTTTTTTTTACTTTATTTCTGCACTTTTTGATGCAGGACAGCTTAGGGGCTGTTCTGGATCTGATTTTTGGAGGCTGTTGAGGGATGTTTATGGTTGTATGGAAGTTGATTTCTGCTAGAATATGAAGAAATGCATGGTTAGGTTTGTAGGAGTTACACCTAAGGGTTGATTGAGTCACACAATTAAAAGCAAATTGCTGGAGTTTTATTCATAAACTGTCATTCATAATTTTGAAAGACTACACTCTGTATTTATACAGTTACAGAAGTCCTAGGACAAGGATTACTGAACCTCCAACATAACTATTCCTATTTAGAATAGGACAACATATAACTATTCCTATTTTAGAATAGGAAAACCTAATAACTTCAGGACTAAGAAAATAAAATACTAAACCGAAATAAAGCCTAGACCTAGACAATTTCCAGATTTCCAGCAAACCTGAAAATTACTAAAACCCCCTGGCATTCTAAATTTTAAATAAAACACAAATCTTAGTCATTTGCGGTCTGCATCAACTTTAGTCTATTGACTATGCTTTTTAATTGAATTGAGCTGCATCTGCTTTCGAGTGTGTTTGGGTGTGTGCATGTGCTCTTGAGAGTTAGTGCGTCAGGTTGCATATCAGCCTCTGGGTTTATTCATGTCTGCATGCGTAAAGAAATCGAAAATCATTTCAAGTCTTTTCTTAGTCTAAGTAATTGGAGCATATGTGTATTCAAGATATTTAGCATAATACTGAATTAGGTGATTAGATCTGCATTGTTGGAGGTCATGTTTGATCCCATTGGCAAAAAATATGCAACTTTTTGGATGTGCTCGTGCATGCATGCATGCATAATAGCTATCCTTGGTTTAGGTGTTTGATGCTAGTTTTGCGGTCATGCATTGCTTCTTCTTGGATGGTTCTCATAAAAATGTTAATTTGAGTGATTACTTTGTCATCTCTACATATCTTAGTTGTCATATAAATTTTGAGTGAGATAATCTTTTTTTATTTTTTCATGTCTCCAGGGAGAGCTTGTAAAGGTCTTTGCAAATGAGCACAAAAAGATCAGATATGGTTAGTAATTTTGCTATGGCACGTGGTTTCAAAGGAATTTTGTTCTTTCTTTTTTTTTTTTAAATGGAATGTCCCTTGCTAAATCATAAAAGCATTGCTTACTGAAGCTGTTCCCTTGTTCTCACCATGTTACGATCCTCACATCAGTTATAAAAGCATCCTTGCACCCTCCCTATCCAATACGTGGACTTGTTTTTCACTTAATCTTTTCTTTTATTCTGCTTGTTTTTTTCCCCTCACTTTGGAATATTGAATTAGTAATCTTCACCTGCCTGAAGTTGCCTCATATGGTCAACAGTTACAAGTTCTTTATGTCACCTATGTTGCTAGCAAGTAGCAACAGTTTGGATCTACTTTTCCCTTATTTTCTAATTAGCAACAGAAGTCTTCCTAATACCGTTTGCAGGTGGAATCAAAATTGGCCACTCCAAGCTGATTACTCCTTTATGGATTTTGGAAACCTATACTAAGGGCCACAATTAATCTTTAATATTTTTATTTCATTGAATTGAATTTGTCATGGAATTGCACTTCTTTTACAGTTTCCTTGCATTTTGATACCTTAATTTATTTTTTCTGGTCAAGTTGCTCACCATAGGATAAATGTTATAAATTCTGTCACTTTCCTGGTCGCAGATCCTGAAATGCACGAACACATACAGAAGACTGTTTATAGTGGCCATGTTTCATATAAAGTAGGCCTTTCGGTATGAATCTATTACACAAATTTTGTTCTTACATTTGTTATCAAGGTCTTACTGGAGAGTTTTTATACATCTTTTAAACATGATGGTAGTAATGTGGTATTTGCCTTTTGATATTACAGACTGGATTTGTTGATATATGGGAACCAGCTACTTTGGCCATCAAGAGGGAAGGGTACAGTATCAAGTGCGAATCTGGGGGTGTGGTTATCACTGAGAAATTTTCACCAATCATAAGTGTATGGCTCCTCTCTTGCTCCTTTTAAATGTTTTGTATGAAGGGCCTTGCAACTTAATGAAAAATGTGGTCTTCTGATGCTAAAGAATGTTCACTGCATTTAAGAAAATATTTTCATGGCATACTAAAACAGAGTACTTGCCTTGATAGGATGTATTAACTTATATTTAAAATTATGCTCCTAATAACTGATGCCTCCCAAACAGTCTTTGATAGTGGCTGTTGTGCAAGTTTGTGAGGAATGCGTTATGACATGGACTTTTGTACTCACTCTCAGTTGCTCTTTATCCAGCAAATGTTTCATCGAGAAATTACATGGATGAATATCAATTAATGCATACTGTGTACGCTTATATATTCCGCTATATGGACACTTTCTGGAGGAATGTGGCAAAACACAGCAATGGCAATAGCTATTTTCAATTATTTTAGTTATGGTTAATTGACTTGAACATGTGGACCTGATATGATGATTATACTGTTTTATTTTTTTTTCATTTAAATAAAATTTAAGTATGCACAAAGGCTTCCTGTGATTGTGATCATCTTGCGAGTCTTGCAAGTTAATGGTGCTGGGTTCATGCTCTCAATCATTGAAGATTACCATCCTTTTGCCAATTGTTTTTCCTCCAGAATCACAAAGGTAGTTGATGTCTATTATATTATTCTCATAATCTTTTCTTTTTTCCTCCCTCTATAGGTTACAATTCCCTACGGACATGCTTTAGAATTTATATTAACTGATTCTACTGGCCGTCAGCATCTTTTACAAGCAGATGACAGCTCAACAGATATCAGCTAGTAAGTTCAGTTGCTTATTGTCCTTGGGTATTCTTCCTGTTACTCCACCATGGCCAAAAAGTACAAGAAACAAGATCTATGTTTATCTTCGTTATAATTATGAATATGGTGCATGATATAAAATAATACAAAATTACAGAATTGGATTGCTGAAGGTTAAGTATTTTGATTTCTCGTGATTATGTGGAAGGTTATGATAATTTTCATATGTCATTAAGCTGAATACTATGGTTTTTTCTTGCCTGCATTGCCTAGAGAACTACTTAGAAATTTTCATTTTAAATGAAAGTACATATCCTCTCACTGCCTCTCTGTTTGTTTATTTGTTTATTAAATTGATAGGAACAGAACTCTTGGGAGTGCCTCAAAATCTTTAGTATTTAATGGAAAAGGGAATCTTAAATTTCCTCTGCATGGATGTGAATGCATCAATAAGATTACATAAAATATGAAATGGAGATTAGAGTCTCGAACAGCTAGATTTGTATCAACTTGACCTTCTTATTTTATATTGGTGCTTTTGTTAGAGTTGATTTGGTTATGTTTGATGGCTAGTGGCTACTAAAGAGATGTTTTGGAAGTGCTGCTTCAAGAAAGTAAATGCATTATAATGTTAAAAATGAAAAGGAAAAGAACAGGTTGAATCTTAAAAGAAGTTATAATCATGCATGACTCATGGTTCTGTCAAGGCATGACAATAATCTGGTTATAATCCATGGCTCTGTTGAAGCAAGGTATAAAACTGGTAGTTCTTAAGACTTGAACCTTGAACTTGGCTTTGTCTGCCAAAGCAATTTGTAAATCTTGGGATTTTTTTGAGTTGGAAGTGCCATATGTTTCCTAGCCTACTGTCAGGGGCGGAGCTAGGATTTATACCTAAGGGGGGCAAAAAAAAAAAAAAAATATATATATATATATATTTATGTAAGCTCAAAGCGCTGAAGTGTGAACTAAAAGAAAGAAAACAGAAAAACAAATCACACAGAAAACAGAAAAAACAAGCACAGAGGCACCAAAAAGCAGCCAAGGATAGGGAAGAATAAGCGTTCCAGAAGCAGCACTGTAGATTGAAAAAAAAAAAAAAAAACAAACAAAGAAACCCGAGGCCAAGACACCTGACAAAACTTAGAGAGAGCAGCACCATCAGGCAGAAAGAAAAAATAAAAAACCACGAAGAAAAGCAATTGGAGGAGCAGCAACACCGAAAGGAGGAAAATAATGGTGCAAAAAGAGAACACACTGGCCAGTAGAACAAAATTTGCCCCTTTTATTTATTTAGATCTACTCTTATGGTTTTATAGTACTATATTGTTGAATTAATTGGTATAGGAAGAGCCAATGTCTTTGGTTTGTTCTTGTCAACTAGCTCTTTTTTGTTTTTTTTAGACTTTATTCGTGCTTAAAATCTTGAGATTGAAAACTACAATAAGAGCCAAGTTCATTGGCTAGCGTCTAGAAAGATGGGGGGCAAGTATCTAAAAACGAGTGGCAAATTTGAAATCTTATCAAGGACCATTATGTATTTCGTAAAAAGTTAGGGGGGCAACTTCCTTTTTTGTATGTAAGTTTGCCCCTGCCTACTGTTGATCCTTGGCATTGGTAAAGTTTGTCCGTGATCATAAGGTTACATTTGGCTTTTTGAGGAGTCTGTTCAGGTGTTTGATTTTTCTTTTACTTTGTTTTTAGATTGTGTATCTTTTATCCCATATGCCTCCTTCCTACTTGCTGTAACACCGTATAGTTTGCTCATTCCGAATTTTGTTGCTGTTCTTTTCCTATGCAGATTCTTAACAATGTATCTAGACTCTGGATAGGATATCAATTTTTGGATCTCTGTTAGGATTCCAAACAATTGTCATTAAATAACTACAAAGTGCTTTGGAACCTAATCGCAACAGTTGTTTGTCAGTCCTCTGCATTTTTTGTATTGGTTGTCTAGAGTATAGAAAAGATTGTTTAACTTTTATTGTATGTGCTTTTGAGGCCTCTCTGTGCTCTTTGCCTAAAGCAGCAACTTTTCATTGTCTGATAACTCAGTTTTCTTTTTCGATGCATTATACCTAATCTTCCATTCACTCTTTTTTGCAGCGCAAGAGATACAATTGTCCTCACCTTAAGATTATTTATCAAACAGGTATAGTTCTTGTACCTTTTTTTTTTTTTTACCGCTTTCTTCTTCTCTGTGAATTTCATGGAATTCTGTGACTTGTGTGTGCTCGCATGTATACATCTATACATATCTATGCCTTATACAATCCAGCTAGATTACAGATTATGCATTCTGGTATATGTAGCATTTGGGGGGAGATGAATGGGTTTTAGAAAAATGTTGTAATGTTTACTCATTAGCTGTCTTACTTCTTGCTGTTTAAAGGATGATGTGCTTTCTTTCAGTGTAAAGGGTTGCATGTTTCTGTGGACACTTAATCCAAAGCTTCTTCTCTCTCTCTTTTTTCCCACTCTAAGATGATGTATGAAGAACGACTCTGTTGAGTTAGCATTCCTATTTTAAACATAATTTTCACTCTTATTGGTTGTTGCAGTTTGGTGAAAGAAAAAAAGGAAAGAAAAGAGGCCTATTTTTTAACAAGTGAGGAACAACATATTTCGAGATGTCCAGCTTGGGAATAGCATTCTGCCCAAATTTGTTGAATCCTTCCTACAATCTGTTGTATGCAATGAGCTTAAGTTGTAATTGCAAGTGTATGTGTATTCTTTTTTCTCCTCTTCCTAATAACTCTCTCCTCTGTCTCGTCTCTTATTCGACTCTATCTTGTAATTAGAAACTCATTTCAAAGGAAAGAGAAACCATTAGTTGGGGGAAGTTAACCTAGGTAGTTGTAGCCATGAAGATCGAGGAGGTTTTTACAAAATTTTAGTCTCTTTTCTGCAACTGAATACCTTTTTTTAAGAACTTTACACACTTGAGAGCAGTCTAAAGGTGATTTGTATTCAACTTGGTACATATATACAATTCTTTTGTCACAGAGAAGAGACTAGAAACTGAGGCCTGTTAGGGAAGGGACTTGTGGATGCTGGTCGAGTTACAGGCTCATTGACACAGATAAATTTTGGACATGTATTTGTCGGTATATAACATGTTGTTCCATGGGTAAAGTATAATAGTCGACAGCTCAATTTATTTTCACGAACAAGTTATTTGGTACGAGGGTAGTTCATAAACTTTTTTCTTACGAGGAAGTTATGTGATTTTAGCTTTGACGGTGGTTATAATAATGGTAATGGGTTATTAATAAATGAATCCTTGAAGATAATTTATTGAAGTTAGGATTTTGATTCTTTTGAAGAGTGAAAGATGTGTCGAAGCGGAGGAACATTTCTGGGTTAGCTATACAAGGATTGATGCTAATAAAGTTCTTAATATTCTAGGACGAGATGGCCCTGGATTTGATGCGAAAAGCGCCTCAAGCGAGAGAGTGGCTCTTGCTGGAATTTCGGAACGTGAATGAGGAGAATAAAACTAGGTATGCGAAATTAGGTTTTAAGCTTTTGGGGAAATTATTTGTTAATGAATATATTTGCAGTGTATGGAGTCTAGGGTGCTGGGATGATTGAGAGAGACATGTAATGTAAGAGAGGGCAATACAACTATCTAGCCCCAAAGATCATAGGATATAAGAGATGCTGAAATGGTACCCCACTGTACCGTATATATTTTTCAATTGTGACTTTATGGGAAAATTCTCAGCGACTCAGTTCAATTGATGTCGTTTACCTGCTTCCAGTATTATATTTCGGGGAAATTAGTGGGGTAAAGCATGCTTATCTTTTCTTCCTTGACACTATGCTAGTAATGGCTACAATATTTTAATAATTAATTAAAAAATAATGTTTAACTAGTCGTGTCTCGTTGAGATGAGTACAACGAGGGATTGCCGAAACCGGCCTCCTTGCCATCCCCGATTGGATCGGGTTGAACAAGTATTTTTCCGATCGGGATCGGATTAAATTGCCATCCTGATTCATGGCCTATACATAATATATGGATTTTGAACCCACATATTATGTGACTTCGGACCTTTGGGCCTTTAGTAATGAATTTCCTTCTTGTACTTTTTCTAGAGAAATGGGCCTATAGGGGCTCTCTTGGGCTGTTTTCCACTCTCAAAGAGCAACCAGACCAGACTCTAACCCTATCGAAGTCATAAACATCTGATTCCATTAGTTTATTAAGTATTTGCCAGATTGGGTTAAATTGCCATCCCTGATTCATGGCTTGTTCACTGCAGTCCGTTCCCTTCACTCTTGCAACAACTCCAACAACCTGCTCAAGGATTTAAAGCACCTGAAATGACTTGATCTTTTCAACAAATAAGTTAGACCCAGGTGAGTCCTAAGGTTTTGCCCCTTGCTGTCAAGTCCTTCTGGGGCAGTCTTGATTGAATTTGCCTTGTACTTGCTCTCTTGTATGAGCATTTGCTATTAAGGTAAAACCCTTTTTTTTATTCAATTGGGTTGTTTCAAATTGATGGATTATTCTCAATTTCATTGTAGAAAAACATTCGAGCTCAATGAGTTGGAAAGTTTCCATCTCGTTGTGGGTTTCTTGGATTTGTTGAGTATTGTAAGGTTGGTGAGATAATGGGTCTAATAAGGTCAAACAATGAACTCTGTAGCTTTATTTGGTATGAGGATAGTTCATAAATTTCCATGCTTTCCTTTCATTTCGAGGAAGTTGTGTGATTGTAGTTTTGATGGTGGTGATAATAATGATAATGGGTTTCAATACATTGAGGAACCCTTGAAGAGAATGTACCAAAGTTCAGATTTTGATTCTTTTCAGAGTGAAAGTTGTGTCGAGGGGGAACAGTTCTCAGTTAGGCGTAGTCATTTTGAGAGCACACGGATTGACGCTAATAAAGTTCTTGATATTCTAAGACGAGATGGCCCTGGATTTGATGCGAGAAGGGCTTTAAGTGAGTTAGAGATAAATGTTTCATGGCTTCTTGTGAGGGAAGTTCTTACTGGAATTTTGAGGAACCTAAACAAGGAGAATAAAACCAGGTGTGCAAAATTGGGTTTTAAGTTTTTCGTTTGGTCTGGTCAGCAGGGAAATTACAAGCACACAGGGAATTTGTATCATTTGTTAATGAAGATATTTGCAGAGTGTGAGGAGTTTAGGGCAATGTGGAGACTAGCTGATGAGATGATTGAGAAGGGGTTTCACACTACAGCACAGACATTTAATATATTAATTTGTACTTGCGGTGAGGCTGGTCTGGCTATGAATGTTGTGGAAAGGTTCATTAGGTCGAAAACATTCAATTTTAGGCCTTACAAGAACTCCTATAATGCTATTCTGCATTCGCTACTTGTTCTGCGCCAGTACAAGTTGATTGAGTGGGTATATCAGCATATGTTGGAGGAGCGTCATTCTCCGGATGTTCTTACTTATAATGTTATTTTGTATGCAAAATGTAGGTTGGGGAAGGCACCTGAGTTTCATAGATTACTTGATGAAATGCTTAGTCGTGAAGTTTTTCCAGATTTTCATACCTATAACATCCTTCTACATGTTTATGGAAAGTCGAACAATCCAGTTGCTGCACTTGATCTCTTGAACGCTATGAAGGAAGCGAGTATTGATCCTACTGTTCTTCATTACACTACATTGATAGATGGACTGAGTCGGGCTGGAAATTTACTTGGCTGCCAGTATTTTTTTGATGAAATGATAAAAACTGGATGCATGCCTGATGTTGTTTGTTACACCGTAATGATCACAGGATATATAATGGCAGGTGAGCTTGAAAAGGCTCAAGAAATGTTTGAAGAAATGATAGTCAATGGCCAATTACCAAATGTATTTACATATAATTCTATGATTCGTGGGCTTTGTATGGCTGGGAAGTTTGAGGAGGCATGTGCCATGCTCAACGAAATGGTAGCCAGAGGATGCAATCCTAATTTTCATGTGTACAGAACCCTAGTGAGAAATTTGCGGAATGCTGGAAAGCTTTCTGAGGCGCATGAAGTGATAAAGCAGATGATAGAGAAAGGGCAATACAAGCATCTAGTCACAAAGATTAAAGGATATAAGAGAAGCTGAAATAGTAAATATTGTACCATATATAATTTTCAAATGCAACTTTATGGGAAAATTCTCAGCGATTCAGTTCAATTGATGCCATGTACCTGCTTCCAGTATTAGATTTCATGGAAATTAGTAGGGTAAAGTATGCATATATTTTCTCCCCTGTCACCCTTAGTCTTGAGATAGAATAGAAGGCCTAGTTTTCCTTTATATCTTTTATGTGAAGTTAGTCTTGAAAACTTCTCTGGATCATCAGCTTCTTGTGATGCTTTTGCTTATCCTAAATTTGCCATGGACTAGTGCAATTCATATAATAATTTCTAATTTGTCAATTCATTTGTGTGCATCTTATCATTAAGATGATGCTATATGACTCTTTGTTAACATCATTTCTACCAGAAGCTGGTGATGACAAGTTCTTTTGTCACTCAAGCTATGCTTTGAAACTGATATCATTATGTGCATCATTGATCTTTTTTGTGGGTGGAAGTTGAAAATGGCCTTTTTGATAAGGAACACCATAACAATATGGATGTTGGAAGTTTTAAAGAATAAAAATGGATGCCAAGCTACTAGTATGCTTGTCTAATCAATGCTTGATTATGGATTTTATTCCAGTATGATGATGATGGAACGAAGAAGTTTGGGTAATATGATACAGTTGCATGAGAGTTTGGGTAATATAGTTTACATTAGAAACCTTTCTGACTGTTGTGGGTGTTGCCATTTCTTTTTAAAGCTTTCGAGTGGAAGGGCTCTTGAAAGCTTAGCATCTCCTTTTTTTCTAGCTTATGGATGAATTTTTAAGATTTCTATCAAATATCAATTATTTTTTTCCTATTCTTCTTCTTCTTCTTGCTTCTAATTCAGTAGTTTCAAATAGCAAGCTGAAGGCAATTGCTGCATGAGTTTTCTCTCACTGACTTGGTGCCCTACTTGCCATGAGAGAGCACATTTGATTATTTAGGAGTTCTTGAGTTTCATCAACTTCTCTGGTGGCAAACATTTCACTTATTTTTAGAATAAAAATAAACAAATAAATATTATGAAAAGATTGGTGAGAAAGAAGATATTTTTTTTTTGGAATAAAATAATATTAAATTAAACATGACCAAGAGACTAAATAATTAGCTTTTAAAACAAAAATAAAAACAAAAAAGCTAATTAAATGGTTTTTTAAAACTAGAAGGATTAATTTATAAATTATTCTTATCAATGAGATGATTCAATTTATTTTTAGGAGTTTTAACTGTGTTCAAAAGAGGACTAGTATAGAAAGAAAAACTGAGTAAAGTATAAATTACTCCAATCTATTTTCGAGAAATGAAAGAAAAATTGATTGAATTATAAATTATTCTATTTATTTTTGAGAAATGAATAATTAATAGTCATTATTTCAAACATTAATCATTTAATCTCTTAACTAATTTTGTCCACACTGAATTTAATATTAATTTAGTTAAAAAAATATCGTTTTTTCACATCAATCCTTCAATAGTTTTTACTTTTTTTTCCCTTTTAAAATAAAAAATCAAATAAATTAAAAAATAATGAAAAGGATTAAATTACAAGAAAATTTAAAAATATAAAAACTAAGTAATCAGTTATTGATACAAGGAGGACTAATTAATTCGTCTCGCAAAACTAGAGGGAGTGATCTATAATTTACTCACAAAAATTGATCCATAATAAACCAGTGTTTTCAACAGGCTGTAAGCCCAACAAGCAATTTGTATGATAACATGAGAATAGTAGTAGATTTTGGATTGAGTTGGATTATGGGCCGGGATGAGATAGGTTGGGCTTCTGGGCTCTTTACCGTCCTGTCTTCCTTTCCTCCTGCTGCTGCCTTTTTAATTGGCTGGGCATAAAAACGGCATCGGTTTAGGGCGTAGTTACGTTAAAGCGAGAGTGCAGAGAGCAGTAGCGTTTCCCTACAGAGGTCTAGAATACCCCAGCCACACCGAGCAGTCCGTCTCTTCTTCTCCATCTCCTCTCCGTTGCTGGGGTTTTTCTACTCGTAACTGAGAAAACAGAAAAAAGCGAAAAGGGAAAATGCACGCTCCAGTTCTCGTTCTCAGTAAGTTCTTAAACCCTAAAATTTTTCTGCTATATCTCTTTTCATCAAAATATTTGTAAATAAATAAATAAAAATTGAAAAATGGGTGGCTTCTGCCGCTGCAGGGGACTCGGTGAAACGAGAATCGGGAGCGAAGGTACATCATGCAAACATACAGGCAGCCAAGGCAGTTGCCGATATAATCAGAACCACCTTAGGTCCTCGATCCATGTTGAAGATGCTTCTCGACGCCAGCGGTGGTATTGTTGTCACCAACGACGGGAATGCCATCCTCCGTGAGTTAGATCTGGCTCACCCTGCTGCTAAATCCATGATCGAATTAAGTCGCACTCAAGACGAAGAAGTTGGTGATGGAACTACCTCCGTCATCGTTCTCGGTACCACCTATTCTTTTTTTTTTTTTTTTTTTTATAACTTTGAATTTATTATTACTGATTTTAATTGATAAATGAAAATAGGAGGAGAGATGCTTCATGTTGCTGAAGCTTTCATCGAGAAGAGCTATCATCCTACTGTCATTTGCCGAGGTAACTGCTCCTACTACTACTACCAGTCCTACTTTTCTTTTCTATTTAGAACAAAATTAATTAGGGTTTTAGGGTTTTATGGATCGTAAGTTTGTTTCTCATTTACTAAAAAAGCTTGTTAATTACTTCTATTTCCATTGTTGCAGCCTACGGTAAAGCTTTGGAGGATGCTATTGCTGTGCTTGACAAAATTGCTATGTCCATTGATGCCAACGATCGTAAGTTGTTGCTCCTTAACTTTCTGGTTGTTATTTTTTTATCAATATTCTTCTTTTTTGTTGCTGGTGTCATTGTCATTTCAATTTATTTTTTTAGGCTGATGGCTTGAATCTTATTCTGTTTATTATTTGAGTTTGTAAGGAGGGAGGATAGGTGTTTGGTGTTTTTATTAGTTGGAATTTGTATTATTCGTCCCCTTTACTAGAGCTGATAACCACGAAGCCTAGCTAGGCTTTTATTTATTTATTTTAAAAAAATTGTGTATGTAAAAAATATATAGATGAGGTTTAAAAAGAACAACCTGCTGTAGGAGTTTGAATATTTTACAGGGCATGTAGTACTCAATTCACATAAGATAAAGGATTGTAAGATCATTGTTAGGATGTTGAAAAATTATCCTTTTTGTTGGTTTGTTTTAACTTATGGATATGTGTGGCAGGTCCGACAATGTTAGGGCTGGTCAAGAGTTGCATAGGTACAAAGTTCACTAGTCAATTTGGCGACTTAATTGCTGTAAGTATCCTTTGCATTCTAAACGCATATACACGGCATTTTTTTTACTTCTATTTTGGTCTTTCCTGTTACCTGAGTAGTGATTTTTTAATGCTCTCATTTGTAAGATCACTTTGTTTTTTCGTCCCTGATTATTATAATGAAGATCTTTGAGATGTGCAAATCTTACATTTTTCATCTAGTGCATTCTGGATGGGTTATATTTAATCGAACAATGAATCAATATTGCTAGTTGAAGGAACCATAGTTGAATAAAGTTGGAATATTCAGTGATTTTTTTTTACTCGTTGAGGAAAAGAAGGCACTTTGGTCAAACAAGAAGCAGAAGCAGAATATTTGATGATGCGGTTTTAAAGAGTGTTTCTCCATTCCCTCATTTTCTGCTTTAGTTTTTAAAATATTCTGAGCACAAGCAATACCTTGAACATTAATTGTCATCCCACATCTTGTTCTTATCTGGTCAATCCTATTTGTTCCCCATGCTAAGTTTTTGCTAACTTCTAGGATCTAGCAATTGATGCCACCTCAACAGTTGGTGTGGACCTTGGCCAAGGGTTGCGTGAAGTTGACATAAAGAAGTACATTAAGGTTGAGAAGGTCCCTGGTGGCCAGTTAGAAGACTCCAAAGTTCTTAAAGGGGTTATGTTTAACAAAGATGTAGTAGCCCCTGGAAAAATGAAAAGAAAAATCGTGAACCCACGGATTATTCTTCTTGATTGCCCCGTTGAATACAAGAAAGGAGAGAACCAGACAAATGCGGAGCTGGTTAGAGAAGAAGACTGGGAAGTCCTCCTGAAAATGGAGGAGGAGTACATAGAGAATATGTGTGCAGCGATTCTTAAGTTCAAACCTGATTTGGTAATCACAGAGAAAGGTCTCAGTGATTTGGCATGCCACTATCTGAGCAAAGCTGGTGTTAGTGCAATCAGGAGGCTGAGGAAGACTGATAATAACAGAATTGCCAAGGCATGTGGGGCCACTATTGTGAACAGACCAGATGAGTTGCAAGAGTCTGATGTTGGTACAGGGGCTGGGCTATTTGAGGTTAAGAAAATTGGGGATGAATTCTTTGCTTTCATTGTTGATTGCAAAGATCCAAAGGCTTGTACTGTTCTCTTGAGAGGTGCCAGCAAGGATCTTTTGAATGAAGTGGAAAGAAACTTGCAGGTATGTAACAGTGTTAACTTTCAAATTCTTCCCTCTCTGATACACCTCAGCTATCTGATGCTTTGATTCTTGTTCTCAATATAGGATGCCATGTCTGTAGCAAGAAATATACTCAAGAATCCAAAACTCCTTCCTGGTGGGGGTGCTACAGAGTTAACTGTATCTGCTGCTCTGAAGCAAAAAAGTTCATCTATTGAGGGCATAGAAAAGGTGAATGATAGAACTCGTGCTTCAATGGATCTCCCTTCAATAAATTTTAGATTTGGCTGACTGTTACGCAAATTCTTCTTGAGGATAAAATTAGGATATTTATTATAGCTTCACGTGATTTGCCTTAATGTTATTTCTTATGTTTGTGAAACAGTGGCCTTATGAAGCTGCAGCAATAGCTTTTGAGGCTATACCAAGAACATTGGCTCAGAATTGTGGTGTGAATGTGATCCGAACCATGACTGCTCTGCAAGGAAAGGTATGAACTTTTTTTTGTCGTGTGCTTTTACAGGATAATTGCTTTGCCTACAGATTCCGCTCATCCGTCTTTTGTTTATTTTGTCTTTAATTCATTACTGCAGCATGCAAATGGTGAAAATGCATGGATTGGCATAGACGGGAACACTGGTGAAATTACTGATATGAAAGAGAGGAAGGTACGATAATGTAGTTTCAAGTCCTGTTGCTATGTTTTATTAGAATTTCCTTAAGTCTGGTGGAATCTCATTCTTCAGATGGAGGTCCGATATTGAACCCTTTATGCAAACCTGCAAACCATGAACTTTCTTCTGCAGCTTGCTTTAATCCCTATAGTTGATTGATTTTGTGATTGTTTGCCTGCAATGATGATTACCTCATCTTTGTTCTCGCACAACCTTGTATAAAGTTAACTAGATATGTTATGATGGTGGTGGAGATTGAATTCTCAAGTCGAGAATTTGAAATCCAAAATCTGCTTTATGAGTGTTTTGATAAAACCATCTACTTGTGTCATCAGATATGGGATGCCTACAACGTCAAGGCACAAACCTTCAAAACAGCAATCGAGGCTGCTTGCATGCTTCTGAGGATTGACGACATTGTGAGTGGAATCAAGAAGAAGCAGGCCCCTGGAGCCCAGGGTCCATCCAAGCCTAAGATCGAGACAGAAGCAGATGCAGACGGCGAACAGATACTGCCCGACTGAAGATTTTGGTTACTATTTGAACTGACTTTCCTACAAGTATGTGACAGAAAAAGAAGCCTGTTTGTTTTCTCAGGCTAGTCTTCAGCTGTTTATTCAAGTTTTGATTAGAGAGTGCGTGCCTTTCTTCAAAGTTTTGGGCCTATTTGTCTCTTATCTGCCTGCTGGTGCTGTGGAGCAACAATATAATTGCTACTCTTATTAGTTAGTCTTGTTCTACAGAAACAGTAATGATGTGGTTCTCTGTTCTTTCTTTTTTGTTCTTTGGACCAAATTGCCTTTGACGCTTGTTGTATGAGTAGGAACTTGGGTGCTGTTGGTATTTAAATTTTGAGAAATGCGGAGGGTCCTGCCCTGAGGCAGCTCCAAAAATGTAGGTCCTTATATTAGGACACGATGACAAAGAGACAGCCAAGTAAAAAAGGGGGTCTACCTCTCTCATTGTGCAAAATCCAAAGGACCAAAGCAAATAATAGAGAAACCTATTTACTAACGCAAACGTGACTAGTTTAGTTTATATAAATGTTGAACGATGCATAAAGGGTTACGATCATGGTGTTTTAACCCATAAAGGGTTGACATGGCAAGGTGATTTATGTACTTTTAAGTAGGTTCATGCAGGGAGTGCATTTTTAATATCATCTAAAAATGGAGAAAACTATATACGTATAAACTTGTAGAGTTTCCAAAATATTGATAATTTAGAAATAAAACACAACGAAAAATAGGTGGAAATGAGTGGTAGTATTAATTCAATAAGAATCCTGCATCATCGATCGTAACCGGCAGATGAGAAGTCAATCACGTTTGTTGTCATGCAATTATTGAACTCAATTCATGTCCACGCAATCATCTTTAACACATTCTCAATCAATTAAACATCTCTCAACCACCTTGTAGTTTAGTGATAGTATTCTATAATAGGAGTTCATGCATTCAAATTCTCCTAAGAGACTCGATCTTTGGTATGTTAGATGAAAAAAAAATAATGATAAAAACATGCCTAACAGTCAGCAGTCGTTTTCGAAAAGGAAGATAGACAGAGAGAGTGAAAAGAAAAAAAGAAAGAAAAAAAGGGTACTTGTTCGAAAGTGGAAGGGTAGATGGGCACAGTCTCAAATCAGGATAGGATTTTGGATAAGTGCTTAACTGATTGATTAATTAGTGATCAAAATTCAAAACATATTTAAATTGGAAATTAAGATCAAAATGGGGGTGGACATGGCAGTCGTTAGACGTCAATCATCATTTATTTATCTTGCCACCTCTCTGTTCCCCTCTCTCTTTCACGCATCCCCTCTTGCCAAAAAGGCCAAAACCAATTTACCTGTCGTATTTATCTCCTATCAAAGTCTAAATTCAACAACCGAAAAAGGAAATACTCATTGATTGATGATATTAATACATATGCATACAGTATACAGCTGAGTTTAATGGTTGCTGTTTCTGAGGGAGTAATATGTGAGATTGATTGATTGTTTGTTTGTTTGTAATGTCATGTTATGTTATGTTGCGTTGACTAGTAAGGAAGAGACTTACTGAGTTAAGCAAACAAAGAAACAGAAGTGAAGATCAGTTTACCTCTCTCTCTTTGGTGCTTTGTTGTTGTGTCCAGATAGAGAAATATGGACGTGGAGAACAGAACAAATCGTGGCTTGCATACTTTTAATGAAGAAGATGAGGGAGGAGGAGATATTGAAAATGATGCCAAAGAACTACCTCTTCTGGGGAAAAGGAGGAACACTACATCCCAGATTGCCATTGTTGGTGCCAACGTTTGTCCTATTGAGAGCCTTGACTATGAGTAAGAAACTAGAGGTTATCATATCTGTCTTTCTCTTGCTCTCTTCTTTGTGTGGTTTGAAGAAAATCAATATTGCTTCTTGTAATCATAAACTCAAAACATATTCTTTACACTCTTTGGAACTCTCTCTTTTTGTTTCAGAATCTGGGGTTTTGATCATTGAATGGATCAAAAAGAACCAGAGAGCATTCGTTGGTTTTCTGCTGTATAGCCTAATATTAGTCCTGTCTTCATTTTGCCAACTTCATATAGAAAGTTGTGGAAACTAAGATAGTTCAATCGTTTTGTTCAAGTGATGAATGTTCAGTCAGTGTATGCCTGCGCGTCGGGAACTATAAATTTCTTTCCTCTTTACCATATTCCTTGCATCTTTGTATGTGGAAACTGTATAAATAACTTACAATGTTTGATACATCACAATAAAAGAGATTGATTTTCATTACCATCTTGTATGCTTGGTACACATATGATACTTTATCACCTTGGCATCTTCATAGGAGGCATAGTGCTTATCTGTGGGTTTTCTTAATTTATTTGTTCTCCTGTAGGATTGCTGAAAATGAATTATTTAAACAAGACTGGAGATCAAGGAATAAAGTTCAGATATTTCAGTATATCGTACTCAAGTGGGCATTTGCACTTATTATTGGCCTACTCACAGGACTTGTTGGCGTTTTCAGTAATATTGCGGTTGAGAACATATCTGGTTTCCAGATGCTGTTGATCTATGACCTCATGAGAAAGCATCAGTAAGCTCAGCCCATCACAGCCTCATTTTATTTGAGTTTTGGTCGACAAATAGCCTGGACTTACTTCATCATACATGCTATTTCTCTGTTTTATTTTATTTTTTATTTTTCTTTTGGATGTGGGAGCTGATTATGAACAATCTTAATGGAGTGGAACCTCACTGTATTGGAACTATTTAGGATTGTTACACATCTAGACAGTTGTTATGGGATAGGGTATTTCAGGGCCCCTTTTAGGCATTCTCCTTAGCTGATTTTCTTCTTATTTTAATTTACTGCTATGATGTTTGGTGTAATGATTTTCCTCTTAGTTCATGTCCTAGAGAAATAGAGATTTTTAAAGTTGAGGCTGCCTATGTTTTGTTCATTGCCGATCCCATATTGCTTTTTGTATAAAGAAAGTCATTACAGAACTTTGTTTCATTACCGTCATTTTCAATATTTCCAATACTTGACAAAAGTTAAATACCTTTTATGCTTCATTCGTGAGAGAGAATCTTGAAATGCTAAATTCTTATCTATTGTGGTTGAGTTCATTCTTTGTGATTTCAACTGCATCCCCAAAGTGATATCATTTTATTAGGATTTATTGTATAATGACTTTTTAACAAATGGCAATGCATTCCAGATCCGGAATTAAGTTTGTTTCTTTTATATGATATGTTAATGCCTCCAGTGCAGATATTACACGGCTTTTGCAGTATATGCTGGTTGCAACATAGTATTGGCAGCTGCAGCAGCAGCTCTATGCGCTTTCATTGCTCCAGAAGCAGCAGGTTCTGGTATTCCTGAGGTGAAAGCCTATCTTAATGGCATTGATGCACATTCTATACTGGCTCCTAGCACCCTTTTTGTAAAGGTGAGTGAGTTATAGTCTCTAGCCTCATTTTCTGCACATGCATCAAAAACATAAATGACAACCTTTATGAAATTACATAATAAGTCAAAGTTTTCATTAGTCCTTTCTATAGGCAACTGCAAAAGTGAATACCTGCATACGCATGTAATTCTAATCCAAAAGGATTATGTGAGGTCTTAGATGCTGCCCCAAACTTCGGTGCCATATGGGGAACCATGCCATTGACCTTCTAATTTTTTGGGAATCATTGTTTGAAATTTTTGATTTGGACCCTTAGAGAACATGGAACTTGTGTCCACCCGGGTTTGTCACTTGTTTGAAAGTTGTGGAAGTATCAACCTTCTTGATCTGTGATATTTGCCTTCATTTTTTTTTTCTGGCTCTTTTCTTTTCCTAACAGATATATGAACTGGCCAACTTCCTTATTTTTTATGTTGCAAGGAAATACATATGCGTTTCCAGAATGCTATAAATTTCCATGATCGGCAACCTATGTACATTCCACAACACATATTTTGCATCCAGAATTTTGTTTATTTATTGTTCTTAATAGACACCACAGCTAATGAAATCGAGCAAACTTGCTTTCCTGAAGTTTTGTGAATTTGAACTGCACACCGTGGCACTATGTTTGTAATTCAGAATCTGACATTATGTTTCTGGAATTACCTTTCTCTGAAATGATATTTCTGTGGTGATTAAAATTCTGAATTTGGCAGATTTTTGGTTCTATTCTTGGTGTTTCTGCTGGATTTGTTGTGGGTAAAGAAGGGCCTATGGTTCACACTGGTGCTTGCATAGCCTCTTTATTAGGACAGGGGGTTCTCGCAAATACCATTTGACTTGGACATGGCTCAGATATTTCAAAAATGATCGTGACAGGCGAGATTTGATCACTTGTGGAGCTGCTGCTGGTGTGGCTGCTGCTTTTCGTGCTCCAGTTGGAGGCGTTCTCTTTGCTCTTGAAGAAGTAGCTTCATGGTACCTCTTCCTTCTCTGTGTGTTTCTGTCTTAGTTATAGCTTATTTGTTTGACGCACAGTGAGGCATCTTAATTTCTTAAATTCTCCTGGGTAGTTGCTGCTTGTGAATCCAAAGTGGAACTTTTCTATCTTTAGTTGTTGGGATGATGGAAGTTGTTTACATGAAAGAACTCCTCAGATGATACATCAGAAAGCTCATTTAATCAATCGAACTGAGTAATTAGTTCAGTTGATGAGATACAATCTACAAATTGTTGATTTTGAGATTGTAAAGTTGGAATTGTGGTTTAAATACTTGATATTGGACTTGGAGACTTCCATTGGTGTATTTTTTAATAAGCATGTAGATGCAATTGTTATTTATGCACAACTGCAGAAAATCAACATTTGGTTCTTGTTTGGCATGCTTCAGGTGGCGGAGTGCTCTTCTTTGGAGAACTTTTTTCACTACAGCAGTGGTTGCTATGGTCTTGAGAGCTTTCATGGAATTTTGCGCTACCGGAAAGTGTGGGCTGTTCGGGCAAGGAGGTCTGATAATGTATGATGTGAGTTCAGAAAAGGTGCAATATAGTGGCCCAGAGGTATTAGCTGTGATAATCCTAGGCATTATCGGGGGCATTTTTGGAGCCTTGTATAACTATCTTGTGGACAAGGTTCTCCGTACTTACAGCATCATTAACGGGTATGTTACTGTGCTATCCTATTTGATTACAACAGACTGCTTTTTCTTTTTTCCTGCATTCTTATCCTATCTTCTTTCTGCATGTTTTTCTATACTGCTAATCAAATGAAAACTAACAAGATACTAAAGAAGATACAGTTCGTATTGCTAATTCCTGTCCATTTAAGATATAAACCTCGTGACAAGCATTTTTTCTTGCTCACCATTCTCAATCTGTTAATAATCCCTTTGCTTCTGGATAAAAGCATATGACAGTACAATGTCTGCATGAATTTTTATCTGAATCACTTGTAATTCATCTTTGATGATTGTGAATACTGAGTAGTCTTATTGTTATCATTCTGACACCAAATCATGTTATCCTCCTGCTGCAGAAAAGGTGCTGGTTTTAAAATCTTGCTTGTTATTATCGTTTCCCTGTTGACAACTTGCTGTTCTTATGGCCTGCCTTGGTTCGGGAAGTGCATCCCCTGCCCCACTGATATAGCAGTGAGTTGTCCCAACACTGATGAAACTGGAAACTACAAAAGCTTCCAGTGTCCACCTGGTTACTACAATGACATTGCCTCCCTTTTCCTAAGCACTAATGATGATGCTATTCGCAACCTCTTTAGCGCCAGCATTGAAAAAGAATTTCGTATATCCACTCTCGCCCTCTTTTTCTCTGCTGTTTATTGTCTTGGCATTATTACATATGGAATTGCTATCCCATCTGGACTTTTCATCCCTGTTATATTAGCTGGAGCTGGCTATGGCCGTCTTCTTGGGAGACTATTTAGACCCATCTCGAAACTTGACACCGGTCTCTTTGCCCTCCTTGGAGCTGCATCCTTCCTTGGTGGTACAATGAGAATGACAGTTTCCATGTGTGTAATACTGCTTGAACTTACAAATGATTTATTGTTACTTCCCCTTGTTATGTTGGTTCTCCTTATCTCAAAAACTGTGGCTGATAACTTCAACAAGGGTGTCTATGACCAAATTGTGAAGTTGAAAGGATTGCCTTATATGGAGGCCCATGCAGAACCTTACATGAGGACTTTGGTTGCACGTGATGTTATCTCTGGTCCACTGGTAACTTTTCTCGGTATTGAAAAGGTGGGCAATATACTGCATGCTTTGAGGACAACTGGACATAATGGGTTCCCAGTGATTGATGAACCACCTTTCTCAGATGCGCCAGAACTGTGCGGCCTTGTTTTGAGATCTCATTTGCTTGTTTTGCTCAAAGGCAAAATTTTTTCAAAGGAAAGGGTACCTGCTGGTCAAGAGATCTTGCGTAGATTTGCAGTATTTGATTTTGCTAAAGCAGGATCTGGAAAGGGTGTCAAGCTAGAGGATCTGGACATTGAAGAGGAAGAGATGGAAATGTATGTAGATCTTCATCCCATTACTAATGCATCCCCATACACAGTGGTTGAGACAATGTCACTTGCCAAAGCTGCAATTCTCTTTAGACAACTTGGTCTCAGGCACATGTGTGTAGTGCCAAAAAGTCTAGGGGTAAGACACACTCTTTCTCAATTGCCTTCTTCCTTGTTTGATGTGTGTGGATAGTGTTTGAGCAGAAATCGTTACAAAAGGCTGTGTAGAAGATTCTGCTTATCAAATATCTGTAAAAACTTGGCTAATGAGTTTGTGATTTTGCTTATTAACTTTTGCAGAGGCCTCCAGTTGTTGGCATTCTGACTCGACATGACTTCATGCCAGAGCATATTTTGGGACTTTACCCTCATATTGAGGGTCACAAGTAGACCAAGCAATCAAACTCAATGTTTGATGAGTAGTGGCTGTGTATTTATGCTTCAGTAGGAGTTCTTTGTTTGCAGATGATTCGTTGGTCTTCTCGAAGTGAGATCTTTCATTAGAGTTGAAGGAGAAGCCTCTGTCCTTAAACAGGTAAACAAATTCATCGCTGCAGCGAATTTGAGGTCATTTTAGAATCCGGAATGTAGATGTTTTTTTCTTGAAACTCTTTGGAACCATCTTTTAATGGGGATGGACACCTTTGAAGCTCCATAGAAGATAAATGACCGGTGAAGTGCCCTAAACAATAAATGGTGAAGTCCTCTACACAAAAATAGGAAGATTTATCTTCCAATCAGCAGCCATATACCAAGGAGTGTTCGGTGCTTTGGTTTTACGGTTCTTTTAATAAAATTTTATGGTATTGTTTATACAGTTTTTTTCAAGAGTTCTTTGTCATGGCGGTTTTTTTTTTTATTTGTATAGGTGGTTGCATATTTATGAAAATATTGTGTCAGAACTCAGAACTAATGAAGTTAGTATTATTTTGATAATGGTACGTTATAATTGAGTTACAATTGTCTAACTTTTCAAAGGGTTTTCTGCTGATTCGGAAATTGCTCTCAACGAAGCTTAAAAGAACCTGAGATCAACCCAAAGAAATCAACAGAGCCAAAAATGCTCGCGAACAGGTCTAGATTCCAGTTTCAAATTCAAACATAAAACTCTATCAATCCAGAGAAAATTACTGAGAAAGCTATATATTTCTAGAGAGCCATTTGTGTCTAGTTTTCAATGGATCAAAGGGTGCATGATTTGGAGCTTTTTACTAGGAGTTATTGCCATTCTGCTCCCAAGTTTGCAAGCTGTCACCAAGATTGTCAAATCCTGCTGTCATGTTTTGCAACTTGCAGGACTGGCCTCTTCCTCAACTGGCATTTAATGGGGGCTTTGACAATCTTGCTCTCTAATCAGATAGAGACTTTTGTAAGCAATAAAAATGGTGTGATTTCCTTCCCTAAATCTCATCTCTAGACCAAATTAAGCTCTAGCCAGATGATAAAACGTTTGCAAGTGTAGAAAATCCGGTCTTAATGTTTTGTTATTTCCGGATTGTTCCAAGCATAAACAAGTGTGCTTCATCATTGCGGAGGATAGAGAATTGGTTGAAGTTAGAAATTTTAGGTTAATGAAATAAAAATTAATTGATATTAACTGTGATTTTTTTTTTTTTAAAAAAAAGTTTAACATGTATTATATAGTATTTAACACCATGTGTGTATTTTATGTACGAGTTTAAATATATCCTATTAATATATTTAATTTGATCAATAAAAAAATGCTATTAATTATTTATTTCATAAAAATAAAAAAATCAAATTAGAGGAGTCAATAATTAAAATAAGGTGAAAAAAAATTGCAAAATAACCATTAACTACTAGAAATATTTTTATTTTGAACAAATAATTAATAATATAAAAATAAAAGCACAATCAAAAGGAAAAAGGAAAAAGAAAAACAAGAAAGAATGAAAGGTAGGAAGCTAGGCCGTGGCGCCAAGCCTTGGCGAATGGACCTGGAGGCTACTACACCCACAGGTCTGGACTGAACATGACGGCCCAATCTTAAAAACCACACCCACTAGTATGGGCTTAACACGCACGGACCAGCCTTAAAAACACACCCACACGTATGGGCTGAACATGCACGGCCCAATCTTTGAAAAAACCACACCACGCGTAAAGGCTGAACATATACGGCCCAGACATGGAAAAACATACCTACTCGTATGGGCTAAACATGTATGGACCAACCTTAAAAAACACAACCACGCATAAAAAGCATCTGAGGTCAAGAAATCTACATTCTACTTATTTATGTCTAAGTCCTCCAAGCCGTAAATTATGAATGCCATTTAAGCAGTACTCTTGCAAAGCTTGAGAAGAAGATATATCATAAGCTATAAAAACACTAGTATCAGTGAATAAAAGGGATGCGAAATCGAAAAGCTCGAAACCCTACCTCAAGTACAGCACAGAGAAATGCACAGCGAGGCTCAGACGGTTCCCACAAACTTAAAGAAGCAGAGGTGGTACAATCATCACTAACACATTGACGAGAAACCAGCTTTTTGAAAGTAATACGACTCTTTCCATTTCCATCACTTAACTCAGTAGAAACCAATCTGCTAAGCATGGAAAGAATAGCCAAACCCTTCTGTGTAAGAAGAAGCTGGTCATAACCAAACAGCAACTCAAAAGCAATATCAGTTCTCCAATCAGGAAACATATTCGATTATCAGCAGCAGGATTCTACATTATGCTCATGCAAAGCAGAGAAGAACCCATGAAACCTGGCCTCAAGCTGTTTAAACAAAATTTGAGAGAGGCAGTGAATGTCTTTAAGTTTGAAATTGAATCCACATTTCTTTAACTTTTCGTGTCTGGGAAACTGCCACTTATGGGGGAGTCCAAAGGAGACAGATGGTGAAGTAGAGCATACAGTCTTTTAAGGTTGGGTGGATTGAGACCCTGCACGAAAATCCAAGCAAAGACAAAATCTTTTCAAAATGGGCTGCAGAGAATTGGATAAAGTGGGGCTTTGCTAACCTGTGGAGATTGAATTGCAGAGATGAGATGCTTGATTTTCCTGCTGGGTGTCTTGGAGGCGATTTTCTCCTAGTAAAAAGGTCCAGTCTTTTTTAACAATTCTGAAAACCAACAAGTTGGGTTTCCTTTAACAAGCCAACTCAGTTTCATTGCCTGTCAAAGGCACTAAGGCAAGGGCAGGGGGAGGAGGAAAGGAAGGAGAACGCAGCTGGTCAACTGTCCAAAGAGAAAAACGGGGAAAATCCAACCTTTATTATCACCCAATAGGCAACAGCCCACAAACAGTGAGATGGGCTTTTTCTGTCAATATAATGGACCAGAAAGAGAATAGGCCCAGCCCATCAGGAAATCTGTCAGAGGGGAGGTGGAGAGTTGGGAGTAAAGGACAAGGAGGAGTAATGGAGGGAAGAGATGAGCGAGTGACACATCTTTTGGTTTTGGTTTTTGGTTTTGGAGGCAAGAGGCGCCAATGCCAAAAACCAAATCACACACCTTTTCGTTTCCCGCTCGCTGTTTTCCCCTTAAATGCACCATTACCTTTTACATTTTCATTTTGTTCATGTCATTAAACCTACCCAGACCTACCAACCCTAATCCAGCTCAGGCCACCACAAAGCACAAAGCAGAACCAGAAGCAGTTGTTTGTTGATTAGGGAAAGAAAGGAAGGAAGATGGGATCTTCATCAATATTGGATATAACAACAAATGAACCAGTTGATAATACTACTTCTTCTGCATCATCAGGTATTCATTCAATCTCAATCTACTTGAGTTTTGTTTGATGATTGGATTATGTTTGCTTCGTTGGATTTTCCCTTTATCTTTTTCTTCAAAACAAAATTGTTTATGGGGTATTACCATTTATCTATGTAATCAAAGGCAAAGGTTCCAACTTTCGTTCTTTTTTTTTTTTTTCACCCAAAGCTTAAACCCAGTATCCAATTCATCAACTTGGGTTTTTCTTTTTTCTTTTTTTTTCCTTTTTGCAAATTGGGGTTTGTTTGTTTGTTTGTTTTGTTCCTGTAAAAACATACAGGAAATTGTAAAGTTTCTGCTAGAAAACTAAATCTGTTCATCATTTGGGACATCTTGAAATATGAGAATATAGATTTCCTTCGTGTGTAAAAAGTATTACAGTGCTTACCCTTGATTGTATCGAATCCTGTTCTCATTTGCCTATGTACTTTATGCATGTAGTTTGCCGTTTGTGTAAGCATTATTAGCCTTCTTGATTTGATGGGTATGTAACTCTAGTATTTGCACTGGTGTAATAAAAGTTTGGGGCATGTTTCATATTGTGGCCAATTATGTTTGGAAATGCAAAAGGCATTATTTATCAGCTTTCTCTATTTGGTGGCTTTGTAACCATATTATTTGCCACTGTTGTATTAAAAGTTTTGGGACACGTTTTGTATTGTGTTCAAATATGATTGGAAACGTGAAATGCATTAATTATTACCTTTCTTGATTTGCTGGGTTTGTAACCCTACTATTTTCCATTGTTGTATTTAAAGTTTTAGGGCACATTTGATATTTTGGTATGTTTTGAAAATGCGAAAAGCATTAGTCATTAGCTTTCTTGATTTGTTGGGTTTTTTTTAACCCTTTTGTTTGCCATTGTTGTAGTAAAATTTTTAGGGCACATTTGATGTTTCAGTCAAGTACGATTGGAAATGTGAAGAGCATCAATTATTAGCCTTCTTGGTTTGGTTTTATGCTCAAGTATGTCGGGAAGTTTTAGGTATTATTTGTCTATTGTAATCAAAGTTTTACTTGTTTGGTATTATGCTCAAGTGCATTTGGAAGTCTGGTTTGGAAACGTGAACAGCATCAATTTGGTACCCTGAAATGTGAAACGCACTGCGTCAACTTGGTGCCTGGAAAATTTGATGTGTTTCAGCCCTACTGCGCTTCCAACTGTGTTATCGAACACACACTAATAAATACAAAATTTTTTTTTCAATAGAAAACTTACCTTGTATGAGTGAGTACTGCAGGAACTAATTTGGGTGATTGATAGTACACTACAAGATGACTTTTTTGTACCAGTTTAATGCTTTTTGCTTCATGACTGACTTTAATAATCAGATTCTTAACCTTTTTGCTTCATCACTGAACTTTCATACTTTGCACTAGGAATGAGGAAGAACAAAAAAGGAAAGCAAAAATCTTCGGTGTCTAATGTAAAGAAGGAAGTGCCAG